TTAGACCCGCTACATTTTAATTAAACTGTCATATACATTTTAATTTTGCAAACATGTAATTTGTATTTAATATTTTCTTTGAATCGTTATAAATAATAAGCGTATAATGAGAGTTTTAAATATCTACACCTCTAATTAAAAATAATTGAAATACCTAATTTTTATTAATTGTACAGTTTTACTTTTATAATGTTTTTAAACTATATAAATATGTTTATTATTCTTGTAATGTTTTAAACTATATAATAATATATAATGCTTAATTACATTTATATATTTTAGATTAAACTCTAAAGTATAATCAAAATAATCAGTGCTCATTTTAGGACTTAAAACATAATTTTGTCTTCGATATTTATTACCTATAAATTATATATGTTCCGTTAGCTGCTGAGAGATACTTAATTTAATTTCTAGAATTAAACCAGGTTCATCCAAATCTCGTCTTGTGTCAGGAGCTCAGTAATTAATGAGAAATGCCTCTGTGAACCCATTTTTTAGTTGAAACTATTTCAATTTTTATCAGTTTCCAAGTACATCATTTTGAGAAAGGTTATGTTATACTTGTCGTAATTTCTTGGGTCGGTAGCTAATGACAAGTATCGGGGACAGCGTCAGGACGGCAACTGGATACTTGCCTCCCAAAATTTCTGTTCAGCACCATACTTGTAAGGGTGTAAGTTTGAGGACGATGAGCCCTTCATTAGGCCTTTTTGTTCGGGTATTACTGCGAAACTTGGTCACAACTGACCAAGAACTACGAGTTTCACTCGGTGACGTCAGAAGATGGCGTGTGAAGGCAAGAACTGGGAAAGGGTCGGATTGCCATCTGCTTACACTAAACATTGGAACAAGATAATAGCCGTCTGTTGTGCAGTGTGTGGTCTAGCGTTGTCGTGAAGTAGCAGTGGCGTGGAGCGATTGACCAGCCTAGGTTGTTTAGCCGCTAGCTTTTCCATCATGGTTTGCAATTGCTGACAATAGACATCAGCCGTAATAGTCTGGCCAGATTTGAGAAAACTGCAATGAACAATATCGGCACTAGTCCACCAAACGCTTACAAGTAACTTTTTTGGGGTTAATTTTCGCTTGGGGCAGGATTTGGCTGGCTGGCCAGGATCCAACCATTGCGCTGAGCGCTTCCGATTATCGTAAAGAATCCATTTTTCATCACAGGTTATGATTCGGTTTAAAATACCTTTATTATTGTGCCGGTTCAGTAATGTAAAGCAGCAGTCGACGCACGTTTGCCGGTTTGCTTCAGTCAATTCGTGAGGTACCCATCTTTCAAGCTTTTTAATCTTCCCAATTTGCTTCAAGTGAATTAAAACAGTTTTATCACTAACACCGCAGCCTGCAGCTAACTCGGACGTGGTTTGCGATGGATACGCTTCCACAATAGCCTTCAATACTTCATTATCGACTTGGGTCTCAGGCCGTCCACGGGGCTTGTTCTGCAGGTCGAAATTTCCAGAACGAAAACGTTGGAACCAAAAACGAACTGTGTTTTCTTTTGCAACATGACCGCCATACACATCATTCACCCTTCGAGTCGTTTCCGCAGCACTAGTGCCACGGCGGAACTCGTACTCGTAAATAATGCGATACTTTAAGTTTTCCATTTTGTAAAATGAGTGACGCAAACAGAAAAAAAACAGAAGAAAGAAACAAATGAATGACGGTCATCGAAGCACAAATACATGAGTAAATAGCTGTACAAATTTAAATTTGGGATTCCTTACCAAAGAGGAGAACATCGTGATTAAAGTGGCCAGTACGAAAAACGCCAATTTCATATGTAAGGACCTAAAATATATATATATAGTATATATATATATATATATTTTAGGTTATATATATATATATTATCTTAAAACATTTTTAATTTCAAAAAATACCAAAATAATGGTTGTTGAAATGTCCTAAATAATCTTTTATTAAAAATAAATTAAAATTAATTTTGCCACCATATTAGATCGAATTCTTTTGTGGGCAAAGTTGGCAACGGCGTATCTATCTTTTCACCGTTATGTGCTAATGGAATTCTACTTAAAATGAATGATAGACATATTAAACGCGACTTGATAAGAGAATTTTCTTCAAAATGCGTCCATTCCGGAGTAATACCAATAGCCTACCTACAATTTTTTAGCATAGCATTTGTTTCCTTAATCATTTTAACAACCAGAAATAATTTATTTTTAATTTATATTTAATATATATTTATTCTATAGCATTTCACTAGAAACTCTTAAAGACTTGTTGATTTGTGACGAAAAAAGTTTATACGAGTAAAAATAATTAAATCCTTAGGTAGTAACTTACGAAACTTTTATTATGAAATGTTTCTCCTAATTTTATTCGAAAAAATATTACTGTTACTGCATACAAAATACATTCTTTCCTAGAATACTGACTCCTCGTCTTACTTACAGTCTACAGATACAAAAATGTTACCTACGTATCTAATCGTTATGGGGTTCTATTTCAGACGACATACCTTATTGTATGTATTAAAAAATGATCTACGAAATATCTTACATGGACACGAATATGTAGAAGAGTTGGACGACATCATACATAAGAAGTAAAAGTTCTTAAATGTTATTTACTTTATGGTTGGATGGCATTTTATTACATTTACGTAGAACCAATTGAGATAAAAGAAAGCAATCTCAATTTAAAGAGCAATGTATTTATTTAAATCTTGTTAATGTTAGGTTAAAACTATGGTAAATACCTAATGTACAATTTTCAATGCTTTTTAATCACCTAAATGGTATATTGATTTAATTATTATAAAAAAATCAAATTCATATTACTTATGAGTGTAGTAACATGAGTAACTTAACAATTTCACTTATATAGACACCAAAGAAGAAAGTAAGTTGTGAGGTATACTCGTATATAAACATAGTAGTAGGAATATTCGCGGTGATTAACATAAGTAAAATTATATATTTTACTAATATAATAAAGGTATCTTATATGAGAACAAAAATGTTAATTACATATTATATTATTTTATTAAGAATACCTATTAGCCTATCTATCCTGTTTTTTTGGGTTATACCATAACAAACCAACAGACAAACCTAAACCTGAGATGAATCTTACGAATATAAACTAATTTATTTATAAAACAACAAATCTCTATTGCTGTGGACTTTCCTATGAGCAATTTCTATCCATTGTAGGTCCATTCCCTTCACGTGCGTTAACTGAAAGGTCACATCCGTAGGTGAGTGTACTCATAAATAAAGCTAGTATGCGTACTAAGTATTGTTTTGCGTGTCGCATCATAATTTAACGTTACCTTGTTCCTGAGGAGCTGGTACCCGAATTCGACTGTCTTCTCGCCTCTCCATCTCAATCAATACATATTCACCCTCATTTACATTTCTAGTGCGGTAATGGATTAGAAAATAAATTATTCAAACAGTCCTCTGTCCAACTATGTTATTTATAATTGATTTACGGACACATTTTTAAATAAACTTGTTCAGCGTTATTCTGTTATTCAATGTTTTTGTGGAAAATAATTCAATAAAACAATGAAAACAGAAAATAATAAAGAGGAAAATTTAATTTAAAGAATAGATATTTTAGAAATCTAGAGAGCAAAATTTAGATATCAATTCAGTTCAATAAAAATAACAAATATGAATCAGAAAGTACAAAGAATGCTACGTTTATGAAGCTGCTACGCGATTGCTACGATAATTATTATTGTATGCGGAATTTTGTACATAAACATGTAGACACTTTTAATGATCACTGAACATTCTTTCACTGAAGAACTAATATTTCCTATAAAAAAGTCTGACACGAAGGCATGTATGTGTAAATAAATAATAAAACAACTATTTTAAATTACCGTTCAGAGAAAAAATATATATATCCTCGGAAAATAGTATTTTATTGTCGTTTTACTGATTCCAATCTATATAAAATGAATTAAGTAAATAAATTAAAATAACAAATATGTGAATAAATAAAAAATTGTGACGTAAATGTAAAAAAAAATATTTACCTCACACTTATTATATTTATGAAAATAATTTAAGCGCAGAATCGAATTAAATTTCTTTTTCTATGTATTAGTGTCACAAAAGTTGTATTTGTGAACAAGGTTCAGTAATTTTACGGTCGGTACGATCGCACTCAATGCGATGTGAAGCGCGACTGACTTACACGCTTGGTCACAGGCCACAGCAGTGAACAAGCACCTACACCTCATTTCTTCCTCCCAAGCTTTAATAATTGTAAATGAGATTTACATCTCCTGTCTGTCCTTATGGTGTTAAATGTAAGAGGTAAATAAGCGGAATAAGGAGAAAATTAAAACCTGATAAAAACGGAATCAATAGAAGATCACCAAGTCAGAATAATTAACTATTTAACAATAGATTAAAAAAAAAAAATTATCATAATTATAAAAAAAATTAATTAAATGTAGCCAAACATTAGAATTATTTATTCTGACAAATCTTATCATCTTCCGCGGCGTCTGCAGTGTTACTTAATAGGACCCAATCAGAACTCACATATTAAAAAATATATATATTCAACAGGGCTGCACTGACATTAAAAATATGCATAACCATTTTATAAGTCATACATTAAGATAAATAATCAATAAAATATGTTAGCTAATAATGCAATATATTTTTATTTAATTAGTTAGAGACCATACTAATGAAATCACCTAATATTAACACACACAGTCACTATGTAAATACATTAAAGCAAAAAAATAATATTACTATAATATATATATCAATTGTATTGGCACCAAGAAGACCATAATATTATTTTAGAAGAATAATTCAAATCTGAAATAGTTTCATACATTGTTCAACTATATTTTATTACAACAATTTTATTGAGTAACTTCATGTTTTTTATAGAAACTGTTTATTTAATAAGATTTAATATTTCTTCTATATTATTTATCTTTATATACATATCCAGAAAGAAATGGAAAAAAACTTTGATCTTTATGACTCTTTTTTATCATTACTAGAACTAACAGCTTCATCTGACTGCAAATGTTCAATTGATGCAGACAATTGCTCTAAACTCTGTACAAGTTGAGTCATCTTATCTTTTGGTGAAGAGTTTTCAAAATTTTCTTCAGATGGTTTCTCTGGATCACCATATAATTTAAAATGCAGCCGAGCCAAATGCTCTTGCTGATCCCTTACATTAACCATTTGTTCCATACTACAGCCTGTACTAAATGCACTTAATTTTCCTGTATGGAAATCTTCAAGTAAATCTAAAAGAGCCTTCTCCATGTGCTTGACATCTGGTGTTTCTTTAGGTATATGCTTAGGCCTATTATTGTAGGAACGCATGAAGTCACGATGTTGTCTTCTTTCATTGACATACGACATTTTAGTGGAATCATTAAGACTGTTGCCTGTGTTTGAGAAGCCCTGAGCATTTTTAGATGTAAGACTTGCTGCACCGCTCGACATTTTATTACTAGTTACCGGAGAGGTTGCTGTTGGAGAAACCTTCTGCTCCTCATCTTCCCCCTCATTCTGCATTAGTTGTTGTGTTTCGATACTTGGTTCCAAATCTAAGCTCATGTAGATTTCGTTTTTATATTACACAATTATCAGTTATTTTGCATTACAAAAAATATTTAAGAGAGTTATTCGTTTTATGGATTTCTAGTACGTTATTTAAACTCAATTTTTTAAATACAATACAGATAAATGCGTATGAATTAAATTAGAATAGTAAACTTTGTAAATAAATATTTGTTGTTTGTAAAATATTTGTTCTTCATTACACAGTTTACATTTACAGTACACCAGCTGACTGCTGAGATAAACACCACAGGTAAACACACACAAATTTACACAGATAATAGAAGAGCACAGGTTTTTGCCATGGGGCTTGGGCAAGCATGTCACACGACCGTAGCATTTGACTAGACTATTGCAAAATGATAATTCATGTTGTCATTCCCTCCTTGAATTTAATTTTTCATGGATTTTCCTAAGGCAAGACATAGTTCTTGTAGAAAAATTAACTTCTTAATGGTTTCCGACGTACGGTTTATTCCTGTACAGAGTACAAAACTTCATGACTGTGTTTACATATTCCGTGGAAAAAGAAACACTTATTTTAATTACTTACAATTATATATGGACTCATCTGACATCTGAGACAACAGTCATGAAAGTCAACAACAGTCAATAGCATGCATAGGGTAATTAGTGCAGCTTCGGTAAAATTATGAAGGGAGATCCGTTCTTATAAATAATTAAACACATTATTAGATATCATAAGTTTATTCATTATGAAAACAAACATGCAAGTACATTTTTGAAATGTTGTAACACTATGTTATTCATATCGTGCACTATATGCTGCTGTGAATGGTTAAATAAAATTATAAACTAATGCTGACTGAAAATAAATGGGACGGACTGACATTCAGCGTTTTTGTGTAGAATGCATATAAAAAGAAATTTAAAGCAGTCTTTTGTATATGAAACAACAACAATATATAGCAGTACAAATTATATCATTAACCACCAATGATACTTAACAAAGTTAAAACAATTTTGAGAATGATTTGATTAATTTGTGAAAAAGTCTATTGTATCTGATACTGTGTGACTACACATCATCATCACGACATCTAAAATTGTGAAGGCATCATAATCAACATATACACTTTTGTCTATAAGTATATTATAAACAGAAGGAAATTAGTGAGCCATGAATAAAAATGTTTATCAGAATCACAGCAATTAGAGGTGGTCACAGAGCTACACTCCTCCCAAGTTAAGTTAAATTTCTTTCAATATAGGTATATATTTTGATTACACGAGAATTACCTTACCAGGTTAGGTATAGCCCTATGTATCACTTTACCTTCAGCGTCGCAATTAAAGATGTAATAATATGACATTTTAACTGTTTAAAAAAAGCTGATTAGCTTTCAATTAAATTAGCAATTGTAATATATTAGTTTTACTAAAAAAAAGTGGTCTGCTAGGGCTCAGCAAATTTTGCCACATAGCATACAAGGTTGCTTTTACAATAAATAAACATTGCGCTGATTATTAGCGTTTTACCCAAAACGTTAGTATATATAACAAAACAACATACACAATTACACAGAGCAACTAGTAATTTCGAGCTTCCTACAAATTTTCAACATTCAGTTATAAAAAATACTTAATCCCAAGAGAGTACCAAGTGATCACAGATTCTGAAAAATCCGTTCGTATTAGTACAAAAGTAACCAACTTTGAAACGGATTTTAGTTTTTACCTATTAACTACACGCGGGAGAAAGCTGGTACTTGCCCAGTACCAGGAAAGTTCCTATGAGTACAGCAGGATTATGACTTTGCATCGAAATCTAGTCTTTATATCATGTTAATGTTAATTTACCTCCACAAAAGTTTTAGTTCGAAACCAGACCTGCTATTATGCTTTTAGTAACTCTAGATTAATTCTCTGGCTAAATAACATTTTATGAACCGTTTATGAGCATGTACCAGCTTTCGTTTTCCTAAAGAGAAAAGATATGCTAGAATTATTACTTAGCTAGATAGAGAATAATATTTGAAAGCTAGTACAGTTACTAGTAATAAAAATGCATTATGTACTTTGGCAATTAGGAATCTAATAAATTTTTGCATAAATTATAAATAAAAAGAATATCTATGAGTACTAGCGTTCAAATATTGTTACAGATATATTGACGGATGTATCGGAAATATTTGCTTTTATAGTTCGAAATAAAAGTAATTTTACCTAATGTCACCTCCGTCACTATTTTTTGAACACGTTGCAGTGATTGTAGAGAGCAGGTGCCAGATTTTTGTTTCACCAAAAAGACCCTGTTAAGCTACAAATACTAAGCAATACGAATACAAAGGCTAACCCTAGATATATTTGAGATGATTTGACAATCTAAGGGTCACCACAACAATATATTACGATTAACACAGGTCACGAGGTGTGAGCAAGAACATAGCAAATAAAAAAAAATATGACTTAATTTTATAATTCCGATTTTAATATAATACCTCTTACCATTCTATTTATAAGCTCATAGCCTAGGGCTAGTAATTAAACCTTTTTCAAGAGGTTGTTTGACACATTTTACTGCCTTCAAGACAAAATTTAGTGATGACAAAAGTTTATAGTAATTGTTTATAGTGTCATGCTCTATTGACTTCTGTTTATTATGGAATCATATTTCTAAATGAAAAAGAGATTAGAAGAAAATACAGCAATTTGCTCACGCCTTGTGACGTTTCCCTACAACTATTATGATTAAGACTATATGGATAAAAGCTCTTATAAGCAAAACACTAAAAAAAATAGTAGTTGCTTTCACGGACTTTGCGCATAGAAAAATATAATGTTTTGGCATTTAAATTACAAAATCTAAAACAAACATGTCCGTAAACACATAGTGTGAATATATAATTCATTCATGAAATAACAAACAAATTTTTTTTCGTGATCTTTCTAATAATCGTCAGCGAAGATTATCACTTGCCTTATATTTAATCAAAGAAGGATATGGTTTTGCTGTTTGCGATTCGCTCTAACTTACGAAAATTAATGAATTCACAAAGTCCGTGCACAACTATAAAACTTAACGTTAGCTCAAACTAGATCGTGATGGTATTGCAAACCTAATAACACATTAACAAAAACTTAAGTATGAAACCAAGTTTCACATAGAGATCCAAAAGTATTAGGAAGATACAACCATTGTATGTTCGCTCATATAAAAACACAATACAAATTCAATGGTCCAGGACAGAATTGCAGAATGTTACGTGGTATTAAACATATATTTGATTTATATAATTAACAAATAGGAAATGCAAAAACTTACATTTTGAAAATTATTTTCAGACCACATTTCCCATTTACCTAAAACTTAACTGGATAAAACCCTGTTCTTTGTAATAAAAAAGCGTAACATTCTGATTCTTTTTATAATACATGATACATTTAATATGTGCAGTAAATTGACATTATACGTATTTTCAGGCAAACATTCAAATGTAATTTTATATGAGATCCGGAACACATAGCGGTGTGGTATAATTACCAATTTTATATTGGCGCCAGCATAAACCAGTTGGTGATAATAGAATTGCCTGACTTACTCATAGTAGGCCTTTGTGCCAAATAAATCAAATGAAAATTGAGATTTTCTCATATGATTAAAACTTTAAGTAGAAATATTTTGAAAACATAAATACTGAGGTAAACAGTTGAAAAGTTTTCTATATAGGAAATATGTCATGTATAAAACGGAATCCCAAAAAAGGGGTTTCAGTATTATAGTTTAACTTTAAGACATTACATTATATTATGTAGTAATTCATAGACATATCGGAAAGCCTAGTTGCTGTTCCTAAATATTCCTATAGAATAATACCAATGTTAACTATGTATAGGCGCAGCGCAAACTACAAAAGACTTATCTACCCCAAGGACATATTAACTTTGAAATTATACTCAAGCTTAGGGAGCGTTCATGTATTACGTAACGAAATTTGGGAGCGGGGGGTCCTTTTATAAAACGTTACGATGCGGGACGGGGATTAAATTACGCGTTATTGTTAATATTTTTTTCGACTTACATCACATAATAGTAACTAAAGAGTCACTAGGCGGTCACGAAACGTTTTACTATACTTGGGTACAGTACTGTACTTGGGTACTGAAAAACGTTACGGCGAGTTTCATGGGGGGGGTCAATAATCTCCAAAAATTGGGTTACGTAATACTTGAACGCTCCCTTAGTTAATCAATGGAACAGATAAATATGAGATACTGCAATCCGTAAGTTACGTCACACACATTTTAACTTTGTATGACGTATGTATGTATGACGTAATTTATGGAGATTATTTAGAACAGCGCTATCTGTTGACATTTTACTTGAACTTTCCGAGAACGAACGCGTCCATAACTTCAGGTACGTGCTCGTCGACTCCTACGATATCAAGAACACCCTCGTGACTGCCGTCTGTTGTCTGCAAGCGATGGGAAGCTAGCGACATCACTATCAACCTTGAAAAAAATTAATGCATTATATTTATCTAAAAATGGGTCACCTCAAATCTGGGATCAAAACCTGAGGTCAAAGCGCTCACGCAAACTAAAAGCATTTAAATTTGTATTGATGGACTTTTTACGTTTTAGTAATTAAAAACTTATTTGATTGTATAAAAAATTCATATGAGCGAAGTTGAAAAAAAGTGATTTTAATGGTAAGGTAAGTTATTAATTTCAAGAAATTAAATTAGTATTCAGTGATTGATTATTTCTCAATTATATTTTTCTCTAATTACTCTCGAAAAATCAGGTCTTCAAGTTTTCAGGGGTTTTTTTTAAGTGCTTAATTGCTTTATTAATATCTAATGAATACTTACTTAGCATCAGGATTTGCCGTCTTCGTCCTATAGCGCTCAAGGGCTCTCACGGGGCAGTGGTCCACGATATCGTTGTTGGTGGGCGGAGGGCCAAATCTGCCCGCAGGTCCTCTGCCTCCTCGGGCCGATTTTTCCAGCTCCATGTAACGGGTACTTCGGTCGATCATGTTGATAAACACGTCGAATTTTTCGTTCAATTTGCTTGCCCATTCGATTGGTGCGTCCAATTGTACGCGACCAAGTTTCTGTTTCTGTAAAAAAAAATTGACAATAATAAGTTATAACTTTTGGAATGTCAACCATGATTTTTTTTTGTTGATGGGTGATGATAATGATGATTTATAAAAAAAATTAAGTCTCATTCATTAACATATTATAATCTAAAAGCGGTAAATTTAACGGTTATTATTGTGTCTTTTATGTGTATTAAAGTGTGAGTGATATATATTTAAATAATAATTTAATGGATATAAACACGAAATTATTTTTAAGCTATTGCAAAGCTTCTATCGCGGGCCTGGAGCGTGGAGACCGAATCCAGAAATTCCGTAACGAAAAAAACCCTACGCGTTAGAGCGGGATCGGTGCAGCCGGTGCGCGTTAGTGAGACTGAGACAGACTATATAGGCGAGTTAGTCTGTGTCTGGTAGAGTGGTAGATTGAATTAATTTATCAAAAAAATAGCTTAAAAACTTGAATAATTATCAAAGAAAAAAAATACTGCATAAATAAATAATTATAATTGCAAAAGTTCAAAAAAAAATTATGCAATAGCTTTAATGGTATGTTATCTAAAGCTGGCGGCTTCAACACATTTACACTTTGTGCTTGTGTAGTGTCTGTGAATAAGCGCGAGGCGTAATGTCACACTGAATATGCATCATGAAAAGCCTGTCCGTCTCTCTCGCGCTCGGTCAAGCTTATGAGTATAAAAGAGACAGTTACTGTTTTGCTTTTGCTACTGTTTATGTTGATCTTTACTGTACATGTTGATCTTTTTTCTCATTATTATCTTGTCTGTGATTGTTTACTTATTTGGTTGGAGGTTAGAATACTTTGAAAAAAATGTCTTATGAAATATATTTCGTCTAAACATTAACAGGACAATCTCGTGAAATGGTGTACAATATTTTTAATTATTTTAAGCATCTTAATAAAAACAGTTTAATAAAAAGATGTAATTTTTAATTTGACATCAGATGCGACTGGTGTTTCTAAGAGGAATATTGAAAGAATTGTTAGTGAAGTAAAAGATAAGTGTGTTGAGCTACATGGAGCTTATGTCGAAAAATGAAAAATGATTTACACAAACTACTCTTTTGCGTTCTTGGTCGGGCTTAGAACTTTTGGATCCACCCTCGTATGCACATAATATTTATATGTATTTGACGCATTTTTATTTATTTACAACCCACCCAACCTTACTAAAACAAGAGTAGACTAAAATATATAGCTTGGCAAAAAAGTCATATTTTTAAACATACTGTATAGTGAAATTGCATTAGTGTGAGTACTGTGAACGCGCCAGCTTTCGATAACCGACCTATACCGCGGCAGACCCCGAGTGCCACACGTTTTTTTTTATTTACATTACTCAACGTTTCGAATGGTTTACAGCGGCCTTGGTCAGCGATAACCCACCTTATCAAGATATCTGTTAATGTTTTATTTAAAGTCAGTAGCTATTTCAGGGTCCTAGTATATTATCTCTAGACCATAAGCCTTAATGAGTCTTTTAATCTCAATTGATCATTCTATTTGCTTTTTGATACGCGAGTAAAATAAGGTGTACCTATTGTATCACATTGCTGGTTGCAGATTGCATCACATAAAACTGATTGCAGGTAAGGTTTGGTCATCAGTAGGACGAGAAAGGGCAGAATAAAAGGTTCTGTAGTAGGAGGCCTATGTCATTGCATGAGTAAAGAAAAGGAACTTGTCTAAAATATAGGCTGTTTTATTTATTTATTATTGCATGACTTCACGCCGGTTTCCTATACTCCACTAGGCATGGGATTGATTATGCTGGCAAAATATAAGAATCTGGTTTTGAAAAGTCTATGAAATTTTTTAAATCTACTATATAAAAATAAGTCGGGTTTTCCTTCCTGACGCTATAACTCCAGAACGCACAAACCGATTTCCTCGGTTTTATGGAAAGGTCTCGGGCTCCGTGAGGTTTATAGCAAAGAAAATTCAGGAAAAATTTCAACAGAAAAGCGGGATCACCAAACGAAATGTTACACAAAACGAAGCCATCTGGTGGCGAAACGGAGTTCGCCGAGTTTGCTAGTATTTTATAAATAATTATCAGAGAATGTTAACATTTTAGCCTTTAACAAAAATCACAAACACATTACATAATTTGTATTACAAGAACTTCTAAAAAAATCCAGGCATAGTCAGTAAGCTACATTTAATAAAAATCAACTGCAAGAAAAAAGCTAAAATATTTTTTTTACCTTAAGATACACCGCCGTGTCCTCAATATCGTTACATTTCTTTCCATCGATCAGTTCAATGCCTTGTTCAGTGAAAACTGCTACTTTAACATGCTTCTCGCGTTTCAGGAGTTGCAGCATCAGGATGATCGCTGAAATTATTAATATCTAAATTAATACAATTCCTTCATATTCGCCGTTTGAGATGCATTGTCGTACGAAATCGTATTGACATCATCGTAAATATTGCTTTTAAATTTCCCTACTAAGAAAAAACAAACATAATATGTTAACAACAAAATACGTCAAAAATCCCTCGTATCTATTATTCAATAAATAGTGATAATGCTATAGATTCTCCATGAAAAAAATACCGAAAAAAATAAAATACCCAGACCTTAGATATAATGATGAAGAGCAAGCAATCTTTTTTTTTTTTTTTTAATAGAAGCCATTTGTTTGCGTCGTGTCGAAACGTGTTCTTAAAAATTGAATGTAATGAAGACTGAGAATGTTTACTCGGAGCTCGTAAATCAAGACTTGAGAACAACGGTTCATATGCTCCTCCATATTCTACGGTTACACGTCGGTGTGCTTAGTTCAAGCGAGGAACAAAAAACATTCGATGACTTGAAAGAGACCGGCATTTCCAACTACAAAGAAATTTGGTGTTTCTGGGACAGCCAAGGGGTGGTAATGATTAAATACCTTAATCATAGAGCCACTATTACTGGCTTTGTACGCAGGACAAACTTCGTTGTTTTAACGTCGATTAATAAAGAAATAGCACCTTAAACTGAACAATTATTTACCGGCGTTTCCAGGTGAGACGTGTAAGTTATAGAAGCACTCGGCAAATTGTCGCATCTTGGTCCTAGTCACAGCTGGCTGTACGTTGTCTGCATCGCCACCGCCGCCATTATTTGCTACAACATCCTTCCTCTTGCTTTTCTTTGATAGAGCGTACTTTTCACAGTAATGACGACCTTAAAGTATCACTTTATATAATAACCACCTTGTTCATAATAATCAAATCAATCTAAATACACTCAATCAATCAATAAATAAATCATTCCAATTAATTTTCATCCGTTTCTATCAAATTGTGTTTCGGATTTGAAAAAAAAAAGAGACAGATGAGTACTTTACTAAAAACGGTGCAATTGCACTGATTTTAGAGGTACCTGTTGCTAACAACAATTAGAATTAGTTTGTCTATTGTCAAGTATTTCATGTTGAATGAAGCGTGTGCACACAGGTTTTAAATTAACCATCAAGAAAGGTTTTTGGCGGCGTTTTTCACCATATAAATCATTATTTACAAAATATATTTAACTGAGCCACATTATTCGCAAGTTTTTATGTCATCCCAAAAATCTATAATTTTTACATGTTTTTTTAACATAAATATAATTTTTAGATTTTTACTTTTTTATATCAATTTGGTTAGTTCTTTATGGTTATCACACTTAATTTAGGCACACAAGTTTTTATTAAAAACCTACTGGCCAGTATACATTTAAATCATCGCCAAGCTAATAACCTTTAAACATATGGTCTCTCATGTCAAGCGTGATCAAGTAACGGGCCTTAGTGGGCGGAGTCAGCGTCCAGGTGTTCTTGATGAGAAGATGCAATGTAGCAATCACGGTTTTGTTCGGCTTTTGATCGATACCTATAAATTTGAGGAGATATTAAAATAAGAAAATGGATTTTTACTATTTATAAATTCAGATTATTTATGCTCATATGATAATAGCCGTCAACCCCTAATGGGGTATGGGACCGCCTGAATTGTTCAATTTTGTATTGGAAATTTTTCTGAAGCTTAAAAAAAGCGGTGTAAATATATGATAGACGACAACCGATAGACCAATTTTTGGCTCGTAAGATAGGTCCCTCAATAGTTTCTTATCCACCCACACTTAACTACTGCAATAAGCCACAATAGATAACCTCTTGGAAACAGAAAAAACTTACCCCAAATTTTAACTTCCTTTGGGTGTCGGTGAGTGACAGTCCACTCCCAAACTTTACTTTCTGGATTAAATGTCTGTCTCTGCCGCCGGCGTTGCTGCTTATCCAGAGCCGCTATAGCTTTCTGATATTTTAACGGCCTGTGAATAGTATAAAAATTATTTTCTTCCAACTCTAAAGGAGAATACATTTTTATATTAGGTATGTAAAGAACATATGGAATTGAAGTTTTGGCGTACTGGCCATTTTGACCTCAAATATCTCCTCTTTGGTTAGGAATTCCAAATTAAATTTTTTACAGCTATTTACTCGTGCAATAGTTTTTCGAAAAGAATGATTCATTTCATTTGCCCCACAGTGCTACCAATACACCAATGATGTGTATGGCGGCGGTGTCGCAAAAGAAAACACAGTGCGTTTTTGGTTCCAACATTTTCGTTCTAGAAATTTCGACCTGCAGAACAAGCCCCGTGGGCGGCCGGAGACCAAAGTTGATAACGAAGAATTGAAGGCTATTGTGGAAGCGGATCCATCGCAAACTATGTCAGAGATAGCTGCAGGTGTCGGTGTTAGTGATAAAACTGTCCACTTGAAGCAAATTGGGAAGGTGAAAAAGCTTGAAAGGTTGACCTCACGAATTGAGTGAAGCAATTCGACAAACGCGCGTCGACTGTTACATTACTCAACCGTCACAATAATGTAGGAATTTTAAATCGAATTTAAAAAAGAAACATTAGCTGTGATGAAAAGTGTATCAATGGCTGAACCCAGCCGAACCAGCCAAATCATACCCAAAGCGAAAATTTACTCCAAAAAAGTTACTTGTGAGCGTTTGATGGACTAGTGCCGGGGTTTTTTACTATAACTTTCAGTCTATTGTCAGCAACTGCAAACTATGATAGAAAAGCTAGCTGCTAAACAAGCAAGGCTGGTCAATCGCTCTAGGCCACTGCTGCTCACGACAATGTAAGACCAAACACTGCACAACAGACTGTTACCAAATTAGAGGAGCTTCAATTGGAATGTCTAAGACATCCACCACACTCCCCGGACCTTGCTCCAACAGATTACCATTTTTTTCGAAATTTGTAGGTATAACTTCTTGCAAGGTAAAAAAATTCAACTCTGATGGGGCAGAATTCGAAACCGCCTTTAAAGATGTTATTGATTCCCCTCCGAATTGTTTTTTAGTAAAGGTATCTACATAGATGATGGCAAAAGTACATCCTTTAATTAAATATATACTATTTAAAAAAAAATATGTTTTGTCCTCCCATACAAAACGCCAATTTCATATGTAAGGACGTAATATTAAAACTTTTTCCCCCATACTTCTGTTATTGTTGTTGCTGAAAATGCTGATCAAACTATATTACTTTTTGACTCCTTTGCTTGTGTTTAACCCCTAAACCTTGGATTAAATGATCAGCTAAATACAAATTAATATTTTCGGCGACTGCTGCTACGATTTTAAAACACTGTAACATAGTAAAATCTAGCATGGGTATTACTTATAACAAATTAATAGTAATAAAAAAGCAAGTTAATCTAAAAATCTTACTTAGAATTCCTCTCATAGTTGCTAGCAACAATGAATACTTCAATAGGCGTTACTTTCGATGTTTTAATCTTGTCGTTGTTTGTGAGTAGAGAGCACAGAATAGCGGTTGTAGTAGAACTCTCTGTTAGAAAACCCATATTGTGTATCCGCTGAATGTTATGCAACACTTGCTGCAACGGCATTTGGGGCAATATTACTTCCCATACCTGGAAAAATAATTTTAAATGAGGTGTGCATGTTGCAAATATATTTGCTAACTATGTATGATTTGTTAATTATGGAAAATGACATTTAGAGGATCCATTAATACAATTTAAAAATAAAATTTCTTTTTATACCCAAAAATCCTAAAATGTTTTTTTTTTATTTCAAATAGTTAATTGCAAATATTTTACTGAACTAGTGGCTAAGTAGTTAACAGGCTTACAACTTAAAACTTACAGCTGTTCAACAAAACAAAAACAACCCACATCACTTAAAAATAACAGGATTTCAAATCAGTTTATTAATGAAGTGCACTGCACCTTTTTTTAGTTCCTTCAACATAAGCTATAGAATTTAAAGATCCTAATAAAAAATTGTAACCTCCTGTGATGTAAGAAGATGTCCAGGCACATGATCTAAGGTGAAATGATTATCTTCAGCAATTTTAGCAGCATCCTTAGGGTCTTCACAATGACGCATACTCTCAACCTTTTCTATGTAATCAAAGATATCCTCTGTTCCTTGAGCATTGGCCAAAATGGTCCTAGCTCGTTTTAGCCCAAACATTATGTACTTTATGATAGCATCTCGTGCTAGAACAACATATTATTTTGTAAAATTCAGGAAAATTTTACATTACTTATGCCTATTATATAAATAATCTCTATTGATGACTCCCTAATGATCTAGAAAACATACTTATGATTTTGAACAATTAAACATGTTATAAATAAAAATTTGAATTCTCTTTCTTACCATAATCATTTACATCAATTTTCATGTGGGATTTTGCCACCAATGTTTTATGGGATCGGCCATGTCTGGCACGTACTCTAGTGACCTCTTTTGCTAGTTCCATCGGATCTTTATTTACATACCATTTTTTAATGAAATTACACCAACCCCTGCCATTACCTTAAATAAAATGATGATACAAAAATTCAATATGTATATATAATAAAGAATAAGAAAACTAATAATTTATATCAAGTGGGGTAGTGTGTAGTTTTACATATTATAAAAAACTTAAGTGCTATTATGTCTGTTTCAAAAGTTAAGATTTGAAATATGGTTGTATATAAACATTAAGTGTGTTTCCACACAACATTTTCTTAAGCTGTAACATTACAATATTGCACAATGCACAATTTAACAACCCCAACCCCTTAAGTCCAAACCAAATCATTTGACATTAGATATCTCTCAAACAAACAGAAACTTAAAATTTTATAGTAAATCATAAACACAAATTCTGTTTTATAAAATAAATCAACTGTACTTACCAGTATTTAACAGTCGTAGATAGTTATTGAACATCAGCATTTCCTCAGGGGTTTTACAAACTTCAAGAGCCGCCCGATATGTTGCTTCTTTTACTCTTTCTGCGCCATAACAGAGACATTTTGCCAAAGAAAATGCAATGGTCTCAAAACGAGTAAAGTGGCCATCATGAAATGCCTAAAAACAGTATACAATACAGCACTACATCTTTATAGGTTTAAAAGTATTTCAAACTTTGAAAACTGCATATGATAAAAAACAATTTATTAGATGGTGTTTATGTTTTAATTGCAAATTATATTCTAGGGTAATTGTACTATTCAATTTTTTTATAGATTTATTTAAAAAAACTAAAACGGGAAATAGAAATTAGATAATTACCTTTAAGATAATATTTACAACCTCAGTATTATTCTTATTAACTAGAAGTAGTTCCTGCAGTATAGGTGGCTTAAAGTCTTCAAAATACTTATGCGCCGCCCAGCATCCAGGAAAATATTTTGGTATTTCGATACCAGTATGAAGATATCTCAATAAACGATTCCTTTGTTTGGGATCGACAGTAGATGACGCCGTCATTTTACGCCTCGTAAAAAACTGTCGTGGATGACTTCAGAACGCTTATAAACAACCGTAAACAACAAAAGACAGTACTTCCATCCAAAGACGATACGTAAAAAATGTACTCGGCTATTACGATGCTCCTAAAACACATAAAGATAGAAGTGGTATATGCACCATACGGCTAGTTATTAGTTTTTTGTCGGTATTCAAGCGAAACATGTGCCAGTTTCTGCGTAACTGAGGATGTGGCCAGAAAAAAATGGACATTGTTACCGAAACACCATTTAAATTGCAATTAATAAAAAACTTACAATCAATCACAAAAATAAAAAGGATGTAAAAAGTTCAAATAAAACAGTGGCTTTAAGAAGACAAGACAATTTAAAATATAAATTTTACTAAATTCGTTCCTACCTACTATTCTTCACCAGCCCCAAATCACAATATGAATTATGATTTTATGAATAATGAATAGAGCAAATTGACAATTTACATACTTTGTAATTTGACAGCCTTTGAATAAGACACAGACCATTACCCATAAAACAAAATCACTTTGCGACAGGTGGACAAGCTAACGATCTAATTCGTATGGTGATCCCATAAACTTGGGAACGTCTAGTCTGTCAGAAGAAAGTCATTTTGATCAAGATAAAACCAAACAAAGAAAATAGAGGACTGGAAATACCTTAAAAAATTATAATAAGTGAGGGCAAGCTGAAAAATGGGGTAAGACAATAAATCGTCTATAACATTTTAACGTATTTTTCTGAGTGCAGGTATTTTTATTAAAACTGCCAGTTTCTAACGGTCCAAACTACATTCGAAGTTAGCCTAGAATTTGAATAATTTCTGCGTCTTTATTTTTTGAAGTTATACTTCTTTAGGCGCGTTATGAGTCTAAGTCTTTGATTATTTAATTGTAATTAATTATTTGCATGCAATCAAAAACTACTTTTAATAATGCCAAAACAGTATAACTTCTTACGCGCGTACATAAGTACACGCACCCTTTTTTTGTAAAATCTTCAAGTGATTTAATAATCTTACCCCGTTTACTGTAAGTTTAATTACAAGATAGGTACGACTGTTTCATAGGAATGTTTAATTATACTTTTTATTCTTATAGGTCTACCAGAATCTGATGTCAAAAAAAAAAGTTTAAAAATTAGCGATTTGCATGTGGCAACAAAAAAAAATTTCATCTGTCATCTGAAATTTCGAGGAATTTTTTTTTTGGTTTGGCTTCAATTTTCCTTTAAAAAGTGGTGAAAATGTCGAAAAAACCTCTTCGATCGCAAGCAAGAAATATTGTTTTCAATGTTTATCAAAAAGTACTTGATCAACAAGGTGCAGAACATACACAATCATCGATATTGAGCCATGTGCAAGTGTTGACTGGTTAGTAGGAATGACACGTCTTGATACTTTGGTTTATTGGATTTTCGTGTGTATTATATTATGTACTTATATAAACTTTGGTTAATTTCATGGGTTTCTAATACTACCATAAGATGAATTGTTGCCGAAGGCAGATCTAACAGAGGCGTATTTAGTACGCCCGGTAAAAAGAGGAAAGGTGGCAAAAAAATAAATAAACTTGGATAGATTTGATTTAGAATTGAAAAAAAAAAACTAAATATCAGATGAGATTTTTAAATCACACGGCCACGAAGTCTTGAGGCTCCCACCATATCATTGTACGTTAAACCCCATAGCATTAATCTGGGGACCAATGAAACAAAAACTTGCGGGTAAAAACGTCAATAGACCTGCAAGTGATATAAAACTTTTAAAAGAGAAATGATTTAAGAAGCTTACTCTCAAGTAGGGATCGATGAATGGCATAAATCTTGTGAACGTGTAATAAAAATTGAAAATCAGTTCATAGAACAAGATCAGTTAATTGAGATGCAGGAGGATAGGTTTATATTAAATACTGCGTCTTCTTCTTCATATAAAGACTTTTTTATGGATGTGCAGTATTTGGAACCATTTTCAAGTTCTAATAGCCTATAATTAATTAATAAACTCATGAACAGAGTAATTGGAGTTTTCATCTAAATTTCAAACCCCACATTCGCCACAATAAAATTTTCAAAAATTATCCTTGATCATTGGATAATTTTTTATATTTGCATGTATCACACACAATCAGCCGCTATAAGGGAAATAAAGTATCAAAACGTTTTACTCCAATTTCCCCAGTGTTACTAGCGTCAATTTATTTTTTCCCTTTTTGCCATCAGATCCTGGTAGACCTATAGTTACGAAATCACATCAAAATACGGCTATTTTTAGTCCTTTAGGAAATATCTCAACTTTCCATCTTTACCCAAAAAAAATTACGGGGTAAGATAAATATACAAAACTTTCGATCTTATTCCGTTCCCAAGTGTTTTACAAAAATTCAGTTATACTCAAACTTTGACTGGTACCTAGTTGATTTTTCCACGGGATTATGTATACATTACCGGATATGCAAAGATAAGTAAAAATTAAATATATTAAAATTTGAAACTATCTTATTCTATATTACTATTTATTCTATATTTTCGTACATTTAACGCATTGTTATTGTAAACAACGCGTTAAATATGATTAAAAGTTATCCAATTTGTATTCTTTAACATAATAATTATACAACTCTGCAAACAAATCATGCATATAATAGCATCCAATAATGTAATAACAATCAATATTCTATTTAAAATAGATAAAACGTGCAGAAAACTATTCAACTGAAAAATATTTAACAGAGAGTTATAAAACTGTTAAATCAAGTTTCATTTTTAATAGGCTAATTAATTGACTAGATTTAAAAAAAGGGTGCATGTACGCGCGTAAGAAGATATACTTCTTTGGCATTATTAAAAATAGTTTTTGATTGCATACAAATAATTAATTACAATTAAATGATCAAAGACTGGAAAAGGAGTCAATAAAGTTCTGTTTACATTTGAAAAATTAAATCAATAAATATTATTATTATTATTATATATTATATTCTCTTACATTAAGTGTAACATAAATTCTATTATTATTATTCGAATGTTGTTTTTAAATTATGTCCAATGCCGTAGCATCTTCCGTGGGCAACTTCATTCTGTTAATTTTGTGTCACGGTGCGCGCGCATCGTAAAATTCCACTCTCATCAATTTTTCATAACGCGCCTAAAGAAGTATAACTTCAAAAAAAAACAGTTTATTTATTAGTGACTAAAGAACCTATACGAATTATCTATTATTTTTAACTCTGTTAAGAACCCGCCAAACGCTTCTTCAGGAAAGAAAGCGTCGCACCAATCTCTATGACGTACCACGACTGTAAACAAATGTGTTGTTAATTATCATCAATAAATTCATAATTAAATTAAACAATCTCTGATTAACTTAACTCCATAACAGTTTTAGGATTAGACGGGCGAAGACATAATTTATAAGCATGGGCGTCAATTCATTCGTCCATTCGAATAATCAATCAGTCACGTATGACCGTTTTGTGTCATGTGACTGATGTATAAAAATTAATATTTTAACTATGGATTTTTACGTAAATTATTGATTATTTAAGTTGTTTTATTTAAGAACGCTCTTTAAATTCACTCTCTCGATTACTCTGAATAACCATTATGACGACATTAAATTTCATTCGTTCGTTACAAAGTTGTAGGATCGATATTAATAGATGTCGCCACAAAAAACGGTGTGAAAACTGACAACTTGTCAATCTTAGAAAGATTCTCCCATCTGAGTGAGTTGAGAGTTCTGACTAGTGACTAATTCTTTTCTGTGGATTTCATTAGCCTATTTCCAAATCAATTGCATTGAACGTAGTTTCATATTTAAATTGTAAAACAATCGTAAATAAATATGATAGCAGATGTAGACAAGTGGATTGAAATTGCCAAAAGGTGTAAATATCTCCCAGAAGACGATTTGCGAGAGCTGTGTAATATTGTTTGTGATCTTCTTTTAGAGGAGCCGAATGTACAACCGGTACAGACACCTGTAACTGTTTGCGGTGATATTCACGGACAGGTATTTTATTGGTATACTCTTGTTACAACGTGCAGTATATAAAGATTAAAAGTCGAGAATAAGAAGTGCCTGAACAGTTGATTTCTGTCCAGTTACATTTATAACAATAACATCTGATACGTGCGTATTTATTTATTGATTACAGTTCTATGATTTAGAAGAACTTTTCAACATTGGTGGACAAGTACCAGAAACACAGTACATATTTATGGGAGACTATGTAGATAGGGGGTACTATAGTCTTGAAACACTTACATTATTAATGGCATTCAAAGCTAGGTATCCAGATAGGTGAGAATTTGTATTTGTAGTGATGAGTGAGGCATTTGCTTTCAGTACTATGTATTCAAATCTTTATTCTCTTAATCTTTAGGATAATTCTATTGAGAGGAAATCATGAAACATGTCAAATAACAAAAGTTTACGGTTTCTATGATGAGTGCTTAAACAAATATGGAAATGCAAATGCCTGGAAAGACTGTTGCAGGGTTTTTGATCTTCTTACTGTAGCGGCTGTAAGTAGTTTTTTTTACAATGAATTCTTTTTTATATCTCCCTCAGTTATGCAGATTCACAAGTATCCATACTACCAACTTTAATCAAATAAATGTGTACCTTCAATTTTATTTCATGTGTGCACTAACATGTCTATATTGATTTTTGTTACTTAAGTTACTTTGAGTTACATTTATTTTTGTTTGTTGTTTATAAGTACTTGACATTATGTATTATTCTATAAAGGTCGATTTACATCAAACAAGCGAATGCTCATTCTATCCCCACTACATCAAATTCTTCTAGTGTAAACAGGCGTAGAGCATTCTTTCGTTGTTCTTAGTGCGTTCGCAAAGATTCTATAGAATATTCTAAGAATGCTCGTTCGCTTGATGTAAACGGCGCAAGAGCGCGCGAACAGTTGCTTAGAGCGTTCTAGCGTGTTCGGACGTGCTCGCGCCACTGAGCGGTCTTTTCAAAGCGTTCTTGTGTTCTAGCTCTAGCTCTATGTTCGTTTGATGTAAATCGATACCTCTAGCTTTCATTTACACTAAAAGATTACGAAAGAATGCTCTTGTTCTAGCTCTAGCTCTATGTTCGTTTGATGTAAATCGACCTTAACAGGAAACAATTTTCTTCATACATACATTATCTGAATATCTAACAATCATTAAGTCTGGTTAATCGAATCTCAACTGTAGATAAGTTTCATCAACATTTTAACTTGTTCCAAACTTTTATGTTGTAAATATACATAATTTAAAATTCTTATTAAAAATAATTTATTTGAGTTAATCTAGTGTGAAATACCTATTTGAAGATAATCAAAATTTTTTCAAGCATAAGAGAAAAATAAGTCTTATTATTATAATAAGATTCTTATTAGATGTACCTTTATATCTGACTGATTATGCTTAATTTGCACAACGAGGAACTTGAAAATGTGTTAATCTGCTTTTCAGTTGATTGATGAATCTGTCCTTTGTGTGCATGGTGGTCTCTCTCCTGAAATATCTATGTTGGATCAAATCCGTTGTATTGATAGAAATCAACAAATACCTCACAAGGGTGCATTTTGTGACTTACTGTGGTCAGATCCCACTGAAGATGATACTAAATGGTAAGATTAGCTTGAGAAATAAATAAATAATTGTTGTTTTTATTAAACCATGCAATTGGGAATCAATGCTAATTTTTTGATTCATCTAAAGCATATTGCAAATTTTTTTTGCACCAACTGAGAAATGTAAGATAGACTGAATTTAACATCATATCTGGACTTCCTATATGAGTAGACAATAAGAGTATCTGAACTCTTACAGAATTGACTTCACAAAAAAAAAATTTTTTGCTTGCATTTAGTGTTTATTAGCAAAACTGATGTTAATTTAGAGTAGTTGTGCAAATTATTTAAATTCACAGGTCAGTAAGCCCTCGTGGTGCTGGATGGCTCTTTGGGAGAGTGGTCACAGAGCTTTTCATGAGCTATAATGATCTCACTTTAATATGTAGAGCACATCAGCTAGTAAATGATGGTATGTATGAATTTTGAAAATATAATTAGATGTGTACCTTACATACATTTTGACCATTGGGACCTTTTTTTATAAAAGGGAGTATTTTTTGCCTTTTCACTAAATTTGCTTTAAATTTGTAATTATATGCTCTTTCATTTAATGTTTTCAGGTTATAAATATATGTTTGACCAAAGATTGGTCACCATTTGGTCAGCACCAAATTATTGTTATAGATGTGGAAATGTTGCATCAATTATGGAATTTAACAGTGTGAATGATAGGAATGCTAAACTTTTTAATGCAGTGCCCGACAGTGAAAGAGAAGTCCCTCCACAACAAGCAACACCCTATTTTCTGTAAAAAGTTTAGTCTAGTACCTATTTGTTAATTATTCCATAAATGTAATTTTGTACAATAAATGTGTTTATTATTGGACTTGTTTAGTACTAATGACTACTTTCTGTTGTTCTAAAATTATTTTTAATACTACTTTGGAAGTTTTGTATAAAGTAAAAGACTATTGTGTTTATAATATTATTTATGATATAATGATCTATAGAGCAACAAAGAAAGTTTTACAAAAAAACAATTCAGAGTAGTTTTAGTCTCTATTATAATCAAAAGTATAATCGAAATAGGCTTGGTCAAAACTCTGCACTCGCACATAACCATCTTCTCCACCAGATGCATAACTTCGACCATCCGGGTGGAATGCCAAACTGTTAATGGGCCCAAAGTGTCCCTTGACTCTTCCAAACTCTTCTTCAAAAACAAGATGGAAAAAGCGAGCATCAAATTTACCCTGTCTTGTAGAGGTTGTTGTTACTTCCATAGCATCTTGACCTCCACCAAGCACAACATGATCTAATATTGGACTAAGGGCTGCTGAGTTTACTGGACGTTCTGTTTTATATTCTTTCAATAATTCTAAAGAGCTTGTGTCAAATAACTTTGCAGTTTGGTCCTTAGAAGCTGTAATAAACATAGTACCATCTCTGGATAGCTGCATGTCATTTATTTGACGACTGTGTTCTTTAATTGAGTGTATTTTCTTTCCAGTCTGAAAAAGAATTAAAATATAATTATTATCCTGAGCCTGTTTATTGAATTTAACAGATGTTGATGTTAAGAGCTTAATGTTTTAAGGTATTAATACAATGCAATATTGATCTGCCCAAACTTAGCAAGTGATGTTTTATTATGATAATATTAAACTATATTTCATGAACATGTCCATAAATGTTAACTGGTTCCATCTCATTTCTACCTAGATGAAATTTTTACAGTAGTTTTAAAATATGTTATTGTAACATTCATACAAAGTTTTTACTATTAAATTTAATTATACATACTCTTAAATCCCATTGGATTAAATCACCAGCTTCATGTCCAGTAATTATTGTCTCATCAAGTGTTCCCCAAATCATAGAAGTCACTTTGGAGTCTGTGATTTCCCATTTTAAAATTGATGATGCAGATGAGATTGAATCATCAATAGTTCTAGTGTCAATGATAAATACCTGGAAGATAATATATTTTTTAACAGTCTGAAATTGAATCTTTAATAAAATGTAAAAACCATAAATTATTTGTATAAGCACAAAAGTTCTCAGGAAATGCATTGTAATATACATTTTTATCTTTTAATTTTGAATAGACATAGCAGACTAACGTTTCAAATTGTGGTATCAAGTTCAGTATTAACTATATAACAACACTCAAGGGACTGTGCCTATTTTGATGTTACAAAGAGTTGCCGTTAAATGGAAAGAAAAATCTGTATTAGAAAAAGAATGTTTATTTCAGACTAGCGTTAGCACAGTATAAACTCTTTATAACGTCCTTTGTTATAACGAAAAACTATCAATACTGTAAATTTTTTTATTTTATTTGTTTGGTTTAACACAAAACCCACTCTTTCTAAAGCAACAGCGATTCTCTATTACTAAGAAATATTTCATATTTAGACATCAACAACATACTTAAGCGTAATTGTTTTTATAATCAGTTTTTTTTTTTTTTATAGAACGGGGGGCAAACGGGCAGGAGGCTCACCTGATGTTAAGTGATACCGCCGCCCATGGACACTCTCAATGCCAGAGGGCTCGCGAGTGCGTTGCCGGCCTTTTAAGAATTGGTACGCTCTTTTCTTGAAAGACCCTAAGTCGAATTGGTTCGGAAATACTTCAGTGGGCAGCTGATTCCACATAGTGGTGGTGCGCGGCAAAAACTGCCTTGAAAAACGCTCAGTTGTGGAGCGGCGGACGTCGGGGTGATACGGGTGGAATTTCGTATTCTGTCTCGACGTCCGATGATGAAACTCAGCTGCAGGTATTAATCCGAACAACTCCTCTGAACACTCTCCATGGTAAATGCGGTAGAAGATGCAGAGTGACCCCACATCTCTACGCAACGCCAAAGGATCAAGCCGCTCGGAGAGGGATTGGTCGTCGACGATTCGAACCGCTCTGCGTTGTATACGATCAAGTGGAAGGAGCTGGTACTGGGGAGCCCCCGCCCAGAGGTGAGAGCAGTACTCCATGTGGGGCCGAATTTGCGTTTTATATAGTTGCATGCGGTGGCCCGGTGTGAAGTACCGCCTCGCCTTGCTGAGCACAACAAGCTTTTTGGAGGCTAATTTAGCCTTTCCCTCCAAGTGACCGCGAAACTGAACGTCGTTCGATATGTCAACGCCAAGTATTCCAATGCTGGCTGTGGCTTTAAGAAGAGTGTTTTCGAAAAGAGGAGTAGCGACAAAGGGTGTTTTTTTAGCGGAAAACGCGCAAACTTGTGTCTTCTTGGGGTTAAATTGGACTAGGTTTTGTCTGCCCCAGTCTGAGACTCCACGTAGTAGAGTTTCGACTTCAGACACAAGTTTGTTCCGGTACTCATCAACAACTGCCCGAGAAATACCTGCCCGGCCAGTGTAAAAAGTATCCCCAGTGCTGTCATCCGCATAGCAATGAATGTTGCTAAGTTGCAACATATCATTGATATGCAAAAGAAATAGGGTCGGGGATAGAACACAGCCTTGTGGGACCCCAGCGTTCACAGGTTTAAGGTCGGAACATGCTCCGTCGATGACGACCTTGATGCTCCGATCGGCCAGAAAGCTGGAGATCCAATCGCATAATTTCTCGGGAAGCCCATAGTCTGGAAGCTTCGAGAGCATTGCTCTGTGCCACACCCGATCGAAGGCTTTCGCTATGTCCAAACTTACCGCCAGCGCCTCCCCCTTGGACTCAATTGCCTCTGTCCACCTATGGGTAAGGTATACAAGGAGGTCACCAGCTGAGCGACCACGACGAAAGACGTACTGAGAATCGCTAATCAACTGGTGGCCCTCTAGATACCACAAGAGCTGGCAATTAATAATGGTTTCCATTATTTTGGAGAACAAGGAGGTTATAGCTATTGGGCGATAGTTGGACGGATCAGCGCGATCGCCTTTTTTAGGGATCGGATGTATCGAAGCGGTCTTCCAGCACTTCGGGACAGTGCTGAGCGAGTACAGGTACCGGAAAAGGCGCGTTAAGACCGGAGCCAACTCAGGAGCACAAGTACGCAGCACAATTGGGGGGATACCATCCGGCCCGCTCGACTTATGAATGTCCAAGGAAGATAGTGCTTTGCGGACAGCACGTTGCCGGAATGTGATTTCCGGCATCGACGAATCACACCGCGAAATGGTCGGTGGTGATCTTCCTTGGTCATCCAAAGTCGAGTTGGACGCGAAGAGACAGCCCAAAAGGTCAGCCTTCTCCTTCGCAGTGTGGGCCAGAGAGTCATCCTCCCTGTGCAGTGGCGGAATGGCGGGCTGACAAAAATTCCCTTGGACAGCTTTGGCGAGAGACCAGAAGGCTCGAGTCCCTGAAGGGAGTTGGACCAATCTCTCGCCAAATCTGGCAATGTGCTCTGACTTTGCCTTAGTGATTTCCCGTTTGAAGAACCTGGAGGCTGAGTTATATGCTGTTTTAAGTTCGCTGGTATTGGCATCACGAGATTTCGCCGCTTCCGCCCATGCCTTAAAGCATTCTCGCTTTCGACGCGAGGCCGCCTAGCAAGAACGTTTAAACCAGGGCTGAGACTTGCCACCGATCGGCACCGCAGAAAATGGAATAAAGAGTTCCATGCCCTGCAGAACCACTTCGGCGACAGAGGTGGCGACGGAATCTGGAGCTTCCGGCGAAAAGCACATAGGCCCCCAAGGGTAGGACGCAAAGAAAGACCGCATCCCGTCCCAATCTGCTGACTTATAGTGCCAAATACGGCGACAACCCATAAAGCGGGGCCGTGAAGGGCGCGTAGATGGCACAGTACTCCGGACCACACAATGATCCGATGAACCCAATGGCGGGTCAACAGAGACTTGATAGTTATCCGGATGTGAAGTCAGCAGAAGGTCCAACAAAGAGGGTTTATGACCATCCACATCTGGTATTCGCGTAATCGCAGGGACCATTTGTGTCAGGTCGTAGGCTAAAGCAAAGTCGTGAAAGGATCTTCCCGCGTGATCGGTGGTTTCAGAGCCGAGCCAATCGGCATGGTGGGCGTTAAAATCGCCAAGTATCACGATTTCAGCGGTAGGAACCCTTTCGAGCAGGGAATCTGTAGCCATTTGGATGTGCTCAATGAGTCGGTCAGTTTCGGTATTTCCGCTATGGGACCTATACAGGCATGCGTAGAATCGCGGATGGTCATCGCAGTCTACGCGCAGCCAGAAGTTAGATAGGTCCCTTCCTTCAAGCGTCCCGAGGCGACGAGAACAGATATCCTCTCTGACGTACACGCAAACTCCCGCCCGCGGCACAAATGAATGTTCCAATTTGTACCCCGGGTAGAAGAGGTAGGAAGTATCAGCCGGGGAGGAAATCTAAGTCTCGGTAAGAAAGAGCAAGGCCGGCTTCGCAGTCTCTAAATGGTAGTGGACTGCGTTGATATTGGAATTCAGCCCCCTAACATTTGTGAAGTCCACGGCGAGCGTGGACGGGGGTGCCTTTGTTGAATTGCTCCGTTTGCCCCGAGAACGATAACTGTTTTTGTTGAGCGCAGAATTGCCCCCCCCCAGAATACGAAGGGCAGCCTGTGTGCAATATATGTGTTTAGAATAATTTACCTATTGATAGTAATAAAATTAGAATTATTGTAATAGGTAAAATTTGTTATTTTTTCTCTCTGCTCCGTATAAGGAATATATAATAATTCTCTATAACTAAAAAAATAATGCTTGGTCCCTTGAAATTACATAAAAACAAATCATATTTGAACACTATTGATTTGCCTGATATTTTTGTACTGCACCAGTAGTTAGGTTGCATATTTTTACTTATTTAATTTGTATCTTGCAATATTGAGGCATCATCGTGGTAAAGCACCTGCAAGCATGCGCAATATGGAAAATAAAAGAATGGGTTTCTTGGATAGTTTGGTATGTATGATGAGTACCGACAGTAGAGTTTATTTGTCGCTAGGACAATAAAGCGACAAAAAAACGTACACAGCTTCGCAGTTTTAACTAATTTGGCAACTTTAAAAGTACTTTTTAGTATTTAATTGAGGGTGGGTGTAATCTATGTAGAGTGTATCAATGTATGGAAGACAAGCTAAACCAATCAAAGCGGATTGATTTTGATGCTTTAGTGGGTTTGTTGCTTAATTGAGAGACAATACATAGAGTTTACACTGTATTTGACTTCATTAAGCAATAAATATAATATTTTTTTATAAATATGTGTGTAAACAACAATGTTTTGACATTTACCTCGCAAGGATGACCCATAGCTTTATCAGTACTGTAGGCAGCTTGGTAGGCACTGTAGCTGAAGTTACATGTGCGTACTGAAGAATTTGTTTTTATTGTAGCTATGTTTTTTCCAGTTTCCAGATCCCAAAGTCTAAAACATTAAATAAAATATTTATTATTTAAAATACAATCAAAAGGTTAACAGAGTCACAATAATTAATATATATAAGCAGAGGCAGGTAATTACGAGGCAGAAAGAAAATGATAAAAAAAACTTTTTGAATAAATTTAAGGACTGAGCTCGTCTAATGTCAATTGGAAGAGAATTCCATAGCAGAATACTTTGCACAGTAAAGGAGGAGTGATAGAATTCAGTTTTATGAATAGGAGTTTCAAGGATTAGGTTGTCTAGAGAACGCAAGTCAAAACTACCGCCAGAGAGAATCATAAAATTTTGCTTTAAGTAACTAGGAGTTTTAGGATTAAAAAGAACATTAAAGAGACGTTGTAAAATGTGCATCTTACGCCGTAATCGAATGGGCAGCCAATTAAGCTTTCTTCGGAACTCCGAAATATGGTCAAATTTACGAAGTCCAAATATGAACCTGATTCAAACATTTTGTAAGCGCTCTAACTTATCAAGCTGCAACTCAGTTAAATCAGGATAACACACATCAGCGTAATCAAGAATAGAAAGTAAAAGAGAATGAGCAAGAGAAATTTTAGTTGAGATAGGCAAAAAATTGCGTAACCTATTAAGTGTGTGAGAAGAAGAAAAAATCCTCTGGGCTGCCAAGACAGGGTTGTATCCAAAGTAATGCCCAGGTTCCTAACAGTGGAGCAAAACGGAACAACAGTACCATCTATAGTAATCTGGGGTAAAGTTGACCAATTTATTCTCATTATATATGATGCACTCCCGATGATAATGGACTGGCTCTTATAAGGGTTTATCTTAAGACCATACGATTTACTCCATTGAACAACCTTGTTTAAGTCTAAGTTTGCTGTCTGAATAGCAGACGGCAATTCATTGAAAGTAGACTGGTTGTATATTTGAAGGTCATCAGCATAAAGATGAGAGTTGGAAGAAAGTTGATTAGTAATAGAATTTATAAAAAGCGAAAAGAGAAGAGGAGAAAGGATCCCACCCTGCGGTACGCTAGCAGAAACATGAGACCAAGAGGAAAAGCTGTCAGTTAATTTAATTCGTTGCTGACGTTCGGTTAGATAGCTTTTAAACCAATTAATCACTGAAGGGGACATATTAATAGAACGGAGCAAAGCAAGAAGAACATCAATGTCTACCGAATTAAAGGCATTACTAAAGTCAAGCAAGGTAAGTATTGTGAGTTTTTTATTATCCATGCCACGCCTAATGTCATCTGTAATCTTAGTGAGTGCAGTAGCCGTATTTATTCAACTGTTACAAGAAATAATGTGAATTTCTTCTTATAATTAAATGTAAACTGACCTGCACGAGCTGTCACCACCCCCAGTGATCAGATGAATACTCTGCCAATCAACATCAAGGCACCATACCACTCCACCGTGCCCATTAAAAGTACCCAAGCGCTCACCATTAAGTGACCACCAAACATTAGGCTTGGAATCTTTTGCAGCGGAAAATAGCAAATCTCCTTCACGATTGTATTTAATTTGTGTTATTGCACGTTCGTGCCCTTGCAGCATTAGAGGTTTCTGTAAAAATTACACGATACATGGAAATTAATTCGAGGTATACTCAAACAAACAATATGAAACATTTTCTTACCATTTTTCAACTTTATTATAATCAAAGAATATTTATGTGTAAAATTTTGATTCCTCAAACATGTGGCAGACCGCAAAATTAGGGAACAAGCTAAAATCACAATTCACAGATTACATTTTATGTCTATTGCCATTATCCACAGGTAAAGAACTGTTTAAGTGTTTAACAAGAGAGTAGTGACAGCTAGTGTCATTGTGATACAGGAATCTATATTAAATTTTGTTAAAGTGTCACTACCTAAAATACCTCAATTTCACTACATACTACAAAATTTGATATTTTATATTTAACCTTCATTTTTCAAACATTGCCTTGTAAGAGCATCAATGCATTTTATCCGGCAAATTCCATAGCAAATTATCCATACAAACGTTTTTTTCCTGACATACATACTTTATTTTATAGTAGGAGGGGTAAGGTTATCACCCCCAACCACTTCCACGCACCGGAAATAGTTATTTTAAAAAAAACCAAAATAAATCTAACGGCTAACCTAACATAACAATAGTCTATAATAGCAGGTTTTTTTTGGACAGCTCCGACGCTACGGGAAATGCAGCCCCTCCGCCCTTGCGTACTCTTCCTCCGCGCCTCCGATTTTTTATTTACACTCTAGGGGTAGGGCAGACAAGACCACGTGGATAGTGGGGTGCTCTGATTCGGTTTGGGGTACTTATTGGATAATTTCAAAATTTTCGGAATCCTACACTACTTGAAACGTGAAGTTTGACATCAAGTATTTGTCAAATTTATTTTGTTATTATTAAATTAGGTACAACTTTAAAATTAACAAATGAGGAAATAATCGATAAATAAAAAAAATCTATTATTTTTATTCATCGATTTTTCATGCTAAAAAGCAATCGATTAATTTACCGAGAATGTCACATCTCTTATTAAACCAATAGAAAAGCAGAAAATTTCGGATGGGGACCTCATAGCCTAGCGGTCTTATTAAGTGGCAGCTAAGTGAGGGGTACCGGGTTCGATTCCCAGTTTGAGGGCAAGTTTTAATTTAATTTAAATTTGTTCTCGGCCTTTGGGAGGGTTGTGCGGTACCGGGCGAGTGCCTAAACCGTACATGGAGGACACGGTCGAATTTCTAAAGACAAGCACGAATTATAAAAAATCCTATACATCCTGGCTAATGCACAAATCGTGCCAGAGCCATAAAAAAAAATGTCGGATTGTTAACAAATATCAATACATTACACAAAACTTATTAAAAAAATTTTTTTTAAATACTTAGACGCATTTCCGGCAGCAAAAATCACTTGGAGGCAGTGGCGGATTTACAAATTTTCAAGGAATAGGCTGTGAAGTTTTTGCCGCCCTTGCCTCTACAACTGTCATATCCTCTGATTTTTTTTAGAATTCAACAATTTCGTTGCACGTAAAATTTCTGCAATTTCGCTCTTTTCACTCATACAAAGTGTGAGCTGAAGGCGCAGAGGTCGATTAGAGGTGGGGGTTGTACAAAATTTGTTACTGTAAAACATCAGAAAACCGTCATGCAGAAATCTTTCTCATTTCTATGAGGTAGCAAAAAAATCGGTTCTACAATCTGCCGCCCTAAAAATCTGCCGCCCTAGGCTCCAGCCTACTCAGCCTGCTTGTAAATCCGCCACTGCTTGGAGGTGTTCCAATCAAGTTCCCCCGAGACTCCTGCATAACGGTTTACCTCAAGTTCATAGATATTTGAAAATTAAGACTGCAATCCCAACTGTTTTCGCATGAAAGAAGCCCACTACCACAGCAAGTATCGTAATAATATAATTATAGGGTAGCCAAGTCATTAATATCAAGTGTAATGAATCAATTTATTTTGATATTAGTTAAATTAAGAAGAAATAAACCTGATTTTGAGATGGCAATTTTTTTTGGCATTAGTACTACTGCTGTTGGGAATATATTATATTTTGTTACATGGGTAAATTTTGTTTATGAATTATGAAAAAAATAGATATTTGGCCTAGTCGCTCACTGGTTGATTATTATATGCCAAATTTATTTAAGCAATATCATCCTATCACAGTGATATAGATAATAGATGGTACAGCGCAATAAGCAACATTTAGTAGCTACAAACACCACAACACTATAAAATTATTTGTGGGTGCTACACCTGGTGGCGTTCGTTCAGTTTGTCTTGCATCATTTTGTTCAGATGGATATGTAGGATCTACCAGTGACCGCCAAATAACTGAAAGAAGTGCCCTTTTAGCTGTTATCGATGAAAAAGATGCAACAATGGCTATAAATATATTTACTAAGCCTTTTTAAAATATTCCACTTAAAATTTGTCCAATACTTTTAACATATGATTGATAAAAATACTTCATCCCTATCCTCATAAAAAATGTTCAATTAATTTTGAGTAATATCCAATGTGATTACTTCGTGACAAGATCTGCCTATCTCCTTTTAAAGAACCGCCCCTGGTCTTCAATTCTGCTTTATATTATGGAAAAGTCCATGTCGAATACATTATTCAGCAGTTTTCACTTGTAAACACATTTTAAGATTTACTAAATCGTACCGAAGATTTACGTAAGAATTCCTGTAAACTGACAGCATATTGTTATGGGATAGCGACATCTGCAATTAGTTTTGCGTTTTCTCCTCCATTAAAAGAAAAGTATAAAATGTACGTTTAGTTTAACGAATTTCAATACAATACACAAAATTATATGTTATTTTTATTATACTTAGACGGAACTCCGGCAGCCAAAATTACTTGGGGGTTCCAACCAAGGTCCCCCGAGATTATGTACTGATTATCATCAGTATCATCAAATTCAGGCGACGTATTTCTAAATCCAACTCAAATAGGTAGTAAAAAGTCACGTGGAGAGGCCCGATCGAAATAATGACTTTTCGTCGACGCTTTCCCAAGGTTACGACCTCAGCGCTGCGGATATTGAGAGAACTACATCGAACGCGCATACGAAAAGTCGGGATCAGTATCGCTGTCCTTATTAGATGTTACAGATTACGGGAGCAGATTTGATCTGTGGTGAAATGCCTGTTTAGTTTTAATGAAATAATGATATAATCTCAAAATTCTTGAGCTCTCGGTCCAATCTGATAATTTACCTCTTAAAATTATTTGGTTTACCTAAAAGACCTCTTTAGGTATTATTTAAATTTGAAGTTGCTTTATCGGCTCAAACAATTGGTTGGTGCTCGTGATTTCATCTGTTTATTGATCAATCAAATTATCAATTGTATTACTTAATTATTGGACTACTTTTAAAGCTAATGCAAAAAATAAAGACAAAATTATTTCACATACATTTTATTTTCTTAAGTTATTAACCATTGATTTCCAAGAGTACAACTAAAAAACAAATTAAAGTACAAACACGTTTTGCATTGCTAACTAAACACAACTGTAGGTAACTTCTCTTGGCAAACCAGTACACAATCTTAACTTTACCAGGCGCACCACTCGAACGAGTCAGAGTTCTAAATACATCAAAAACAGTCAGTTAACTTGGTCGAATAACAGCCTTTTCCATCGAGAACAGTACAGCAGCAGCTAATGTGATTTTCTACAGTTAAAAGTTACTTAAAAATATCTACTGAAAGCGATAAGTCTTGAAATTGAGCGAGCCCAACTATTTACGTAAACACTCAATGAATCATTAATCTGAGGCACTTTTATGAGACTGCGTGGTGAATATATGGTGGTTTTTTACGAAAAAAACGAGTAACATGAAGCGAACGTGTTTGAGTCAACATAACGAACATGATTATGTAAAACATGGAGTATATAACTTGTAGTAATAAATGTATATAATATATATACATTATTATATGCCTTAGGACTTGCTCATCTGTGACATGTAATTACAAAAAACATTTGATCAACGTTTCCGAATATATAATATAGAGAATATTATGGTTTACAATCGCTTGTTTTGAAACTATTAAATTATATTATAATGTAATGTACAGTTAACCCTCCATTTTACCGAAATACGTACATGAAACGCTATACACAACAATCTTACTCTAAAATGTGAAAATATGTCGTCAATCCTACAATATCTTATGAATTGTAGGGATGTCAAATGCAGTTTTGAAACTTATAAATACATTAACATCATAAGCTAAGATTAATTAATTTATCAGTCAAATTATTTTTCGCAATAATATCTAGGCAATATGCACACACGATTCAAGATTGTTAAAACGTGTACAAGTATTTGAATATAAGAAGTTAGTCTATACTGTTATACGCCGTGTATAATACAACAATTATATTTATAGAAAAATACATAAATAATGCCATAGAAAACATTTCTTACAAATGGTTATAAAAGACAGAATTTTAGTATTCGATTACTAATCAAAGGTACCAATTCCGATGGTAGTTCTACAAAGCAAAAACTATAAACGTAGTCAACGTAATGTGTAGTAAAAAACGACCTGAAATTTTGTTTCTTTAACGCAGGATTAGAAAGCAGATTACTGATTACTTCTGGTAGGTAATTTAATGTACTAAAATATAGCCTCAATAGGCTTTCACGTCCTACTCTAATTAGGTACTCGCCAGTAATGCGCCAATTTTCTCATTAATACTATCCTTTGTACAACACAAATAACGTTCTTATATTCTAATTATCCTTTGATACATCGCCGTTAATTTCCTGAATAAACTATTTTACTAACAAAATAAGTGTCAATTCTTATAATATTAACGAATAAGACGAGCGAACAAGTCGCGGTTATTCTAACTTGATACATGTTAAAAATCTATAAAGGCATCCTTACCTCAGACTTTAGATTCAACACCGTCGTGTTGATGGTGTTTTAAGAACTAATTATTAGATTAAGTTATATATTAAATTAATATGCATTAGTCAGAATGTAGATAAGCCTTTTTATGGACAAAATTACAAAATCCAAAGCACCATTTTGTGATTATGTTAGGATAATGAATGTTCGCCAATAGTGTGCCTGGATCTATTGAATTTGTTTAAAATATCGGGCGATTTCGATATTTCGTCGCTGTTTCAATTTATAATATATCTAATTATTAAATAAACAACAACATGACTTTAGGCATAAAATGGCAGTATTTTTAACTGGTTGTTTTTTTAATATGTACAAAATGTATCCTAAAACTTAACTAATGGTAACACGATGAGGAACGGACGTAAGTCGCTCATTCAGGTAACAGAATTTCCTAATTTATTTATACAAACAATTTTTACAGTATTTACGGATTTATGTTAACAACGTTACGATATTTTTAATGAAAGCTGGTTATTTAATGAAATGTGTGATAATGAGTTCGAAGTGAACTAAAAAAAGGGGTCGCTTAACTCAAAACAGTTAGACTTCATGATTTAATTATGAGAGTAATGGTCAATATATGATTGAAAATGTTGATGAAATAATGTTATAAATATATGGGATGAATAGATGTATTAATATGTCATAAAAATCTTTTAAACGTAGCCAAAAATTTAAACCTAGAACCTAAGTCCCTACAACGAACTTTTTGGTTGTATTACTTAATTCTAGGTTGGCATAAACCGCCGCTAAAGCTAATGGTAACTGTTCACCGTTGTTGGAACGTTTTTACACTATTTTATAGTTAACAATATGAAGTAAACAAGGAGGCAGTGATTATTGACAGTGTATGTTAGGTTTTCGAAAAGTCCTTAAAATTATTTATCCGGCGCAATAGTGACAGAAAAGTTAGATTTTCGCTGAAGATTTCGAAGGTTTTACGGAATTGTATCACCAATGTTGACCAATTTTTTTTTTAAAGTTTAAAAAAAATAAAATTACTAACAGACAGATGTCCTTTAGCAACTTATAATTCGTACAGAAAAAAAGCTTTTGCGTGTCACTATTATACCGGATTTTAGTTATGCCTAATTAATACAATGATTTTATGACTAATGTGTGGTATATTACATCCCTACATATAATTATGTACTTATCAGGTGATTTAATCATAATTATGTATCATGACGACAAATGTTAATGAAAATGTTATTTTAATGGTATAAATAGTTACAGTGCTATTAATTCTGATCTATCTGATCATAAAGCTGACAGTATAAATGTTCATCACTGGGTCAGATATGTTTATAGCACTTGTTGTGAAATGATTGGGTTAATAACTACTGAATTGTGTTAGCAAACCACGCAGTCTGTGGATTTAAATATGATTCGAAGGAAAACTATTTCATTATTTTGCGTGGATTCAGGTTTGTGTGCAACGGACTGGACATTTAAGAATTGAGAACTTATTTAAATTGAACACATTAACATTATACAATAGTAAACGGCAAAACGTATTTATGAAATAATTTTACGGATACGTAAAGCTATGAAAGGTCGTTCAATATACAGTACATTTTATCTTAACTTTCGTAAGTATTACACGTTACAGTTACATGCGGTTCAAGGGTAAAGATCAAAGGAAAGTTTGCACAATTTTATGCGAAGTCTTTGCAGTAAAAATGCATATCTTGTGACTTAGTATAAGTTTAGAACGCGAGCTGCGCCAAGTTCCTATATAAGTTAGGATTAAACAGTACAATTGTATACAAGCAGTCTTGGTAAACACTGAGAATAAGTCCTTAGTGCTACTATCATGAATAAGTCATACAAAATTAAACTAAATTTTTCCGATAATACACACCCAGTAAAAAATAAATCTACCGGTTAAACTCTAGATATAAAATGCAAACTAAAACAGCAATATTCATTTACAAAGAAACAACTCCTAAAAACAACGACTAACCTATCAAAATCTTATACTATATTTACAGGAATATATTATGCAGTTCTCCGATTGACAAATTTAAATAGCAATATATATTCTAATTAACACTAAGTAGTATACACTACCACGTATAAAACACGCATTCAAGTCCCTTACTAAAAATAACTATTAATCATAAATCAGTCTGTCAATTGGGACGTTATAATTTTTCACCCATCACACACATATAACGTCTACACTCGTCGCACAATCATTGAAGAATCGCGAAATAAATCGTCCATAAACGGCATAACGCGGTTTAAAGGGTTTGTTAGAGGGAAGGTTCTAGACCGCAGTGTTCAAACAAGTAGGAACATTGCTAGGTGCGTTGGTGAACACAGGTGGTGGACGCGAACCGCTTCATAAGACAAGGGCGCGGCGGGAGCGAGGTTGTCGCTCATACATCGAGAACTACAAACCCTGCTCGGCCATATACTATCTGATTTCAGCTGAATTTAGCACGAACGGCACGTAGAACATTTTGCTTTCTAGTAACAAGTTCGCCGCTGCCTGTATCTGAAAGTGAACCAATTGTTAGGAGCTTTCTATTTCAAACCAACTTTCTCAAGTGATTTATCCCTGTGCTTGAAATAAGACCACTCATTCAATGTTGCAAATGGATATCCGATTTAATAATTTATATGCAAATCTTCATTAAAAAATGAAAGTCTGGTGGTGCAACCACTTAATGAATTTTATATATTTATGAAAATGTACCTCCGGTATTCTTGCGAATAATTCTTGTAGTCTACCAGGGTGATGTGGCGCAGCATGCTCTAAATAACTCCGTAGAACTTGCACATATCGATCCTGAATTCCCTCCAACTCAACTTCTGAAATAAAATAGAACATCATAAATAATCAATAACGATTCTTGAAAACATGGAGGGGTGGACCAAATACGGTATCTAATTATCTTGGTAATGTTTGTACATTAAACATAAAAATTACACGGTAATTAATATTGCAGTTCTAAATTAGTAACCCTATTCGCCACTAGATGACGCTCAAAGACGTAAGAAGACCAATGCCAGCGTGCGGTGCGGCGGTGACGTCACTCGCTCAGTAGGTCACTCCGATAGCGGGGCAACGACCGCGGCTAGCCGTTGACCTCCGCGCATTCGAGCTCGCGTCCTCACTCACTATAACTATCTCTCTCACACCCGTGCGCTTTTCCATACGTATTACGTTACGTATATATACGTTCTTATTTGAAATTTTCGGTATTAACGTTCAAATGAATGATTTTTAATTGACGAATCTCGTTAAAAATTTTGGTCAAACAGTATTTTTGTCCTTGACAAAGAGTCTAAGCGAGAATATTTTATAATTTTGCAATCACTTCGTAGTTTATAATTACGTATCAAACTTGTTTGTGAACGTTACACAATAACGCTGACAGCGAGTTAGCACGGCTAATCTGCTTTTTTTCACCGCTAGCAAAAGAGAAAGTTCCCTTCCGCATCTCACTTTTCGCTGAGAGTGAAATGCTGTCCCGTTCGACTGACGTAACTTAGCTAACGCATTGTGCTGTTGCGCTCTTCGTTTCGGTTATAAATCTTGGCAGTGAGATTTTAGGTACGTGTATAGAATACGTCTTTTGCCTTCAGTAACAATGTTTTTCCGGCCTGTTTTTATTATAACTGCATAAATAGTAATGAAATATTAATTAAGGGAGCGTTCAAGTATTACGTAACGAATTTTGGTAGGGGGGTGGGGGGGATCCTTTTGTAAAACGTTACGATGCGGGGCAGGGATTGAATTACGCGTTATAAAGACTGATCTTTAAAACATATTTTAAAAAGTTTTTTGCGTGAAACCGTAACATTTAATTAAATTAATCAATTATTTGCTTCAATGAAAAGGCCAAGACACATGGCGGCATTGCTATAATGGATTAGTACGTGTTCATAACGTAGGTACCTACTATACAGTTAATATACGCCAACGCGCGGTTCGTTGCGCAAGCGCTTTCCATTTCACTTCAACGATGCTCTTAATGTACAATAAAGTTTGTTCCTTCTAATATTTCTAAATAAAAAAATTATTGCTATTAATTGCATCGCATTTGAATATTTTGTTGAATATTTGATAGTATAAAGTATCGTAAATTTAATGAATAAAGTGGATGCATAAAATTTAAGGAATTACATAGAAACCATAAATCACGGACCAAGGCGGCGTTTCATTGCAAGCGTTGAAAATAAATTTAAAACATAACGAGCGCTGACCCAGTTGCGATAATGCAGGATGTCATATTTTCATTACGTTGGGAATATGCTATATCGGTAAGCTAGTTTTCTTTTCACGTTCTAATAATTATTCATTAACTTGCGATATTTACGTTGAGTGTGAGACGCTTAGAAATTTGAGTATTGCGTTTTAACGCGTCTATTGAAACTAAATGACTTTGAAGAAGAAATAATTTATAAAAAATATAGATTTAAGAAAAATTTCAGTTTTTTTTAAATCACACTTATCGTAAATATTATTATAAAAATATACGTTGAATTTAAGATTTTAGTACTTCAAAAGTGGCTTAGAATTATGGGTATACCACTCCGCATCCTAACAGTTTGAATTCTTGAAAAGATTCAAAATCTAAATTTAACAGTAACCTTAAGATTTACCCAAAAATTGATAAATATTGATTAAAATCCGGGTTAAGTATATAGGACTCCGGGATTTCCGTAGCCTCCTAATTTCCTCCTATACATTCCCACGTTCAGTTCAGTAATAATTACGGCAGTAAGTTAAAAAAAAATTGCTTTGTTTATCTCATACCCTGGTCCGCAGCTAGTTTTAACTTAAATAAGTAATTTACAATCTGCTATTAATATCACATTTACTGATCCTGATATCATTATTTCGAGTAATAACTTAAATTATAACGTACTATAATCGTTTTCAGAAACGTCGCTTGTAAGTGGGTTACTTGTTCCATAAATCATAATGATCTTAACGAACTCATGTCCGAACTCACCAATTGAAAGATGTTTGTGAAATTCAACTCACTATAGGATAATTCTATTGGTTAATAATGATTTTCGTGTTGACTAACTTACAACATTAATTCGCATAGTTTATAATAATTTTGTCCTATTAAACAGTCTTGCGTAATTAAACTATCTTATTATAATATAGGTATAAATTACGTGTCACGTTGTTTGTCCGCTATGGACTCCTAAACTACCGAACCGATATCAATCAAATTTGCACACCGTGTATAGTTTGCTCCCACTTAAAAGATAGGATAGCTTACATCTCAATTTATACCCGCAATATTATTTTATTGCAAAATATTTATATATTATTTGATAGTCACAATTCTAACAGATGGCGCTGTGTTGAAAGTACCAACGTTTCACATAAGCTACAACTTAATGGCATAACCACCAAAACAGCATGGTTGACTGGTGTTCTCCTGCCGTTTCCCATTAATAGTTTACTACTATGTAATATATCAAAAATCTTAGCCACAGCAACGATTGGCCGAGTCTGCTAGTCAATATATAAAACCAAGAGAAGATTAACAAGACTTGATTTCAAAATACAAAACTATTTGGTTTTTGAAACTAAAACATTTTTTTAGAAATAAGATATTTAAATAAGCGAACATTGTTCAGAATTTATTAAAAATAATTACAACATGCTAAGATTGAAACGATATTATTGTAATAAGATATTACCCAAAAACTAATGTATATCGAATATTCTGTAAGTCGCAATATCGAGTACTCGTCAAGTGAGTCAACGTCATAGGATGCCTAGCTCGTAACTGACCTACATTAACCGTGGGGCGATGCACCCCTGACTGGTCTATAAGTGGATTACTGCATGTACTATATACTACAAGCATAAATCTATTATGCGGCCTCTTTTATTAACTATTTTAACGCTCATTTGATTGTTAGGAAAAAATATTTTATCGACATCAAAAAAAAATATCTGTTTAATGGCTACCAAATTTTTTTGAATTATCTTAAATCGTTGTTAAAATTTATAAATAACCACATAGCTAATTTAATATCTTTTGGGGGTTACAATATAATCTTGTTGAAAACGTTAAACATTATCAAGATACGGAAACAATTCTATGTAAGTAACCTAAATAAGTGGTTAATTACTATAAGTGGTGAAAGGTTATCCACGAAAAATTAGTACAGCAAGTAAACTTTCCATTATCAATTAATTGGCACTAGTCGTTGAATAACGCACTGATTTTCACAATTTTGTTGATATATATTTATAGAAGATATTTTCAATGAATTCGAACTATTTTCTACCGGCCAAATTTACCTATATTTTAACAAAAAGAATTTACTACTACGCTGCATTTATTCCGGTAAAAATATAAACTTACCCTGATTTAACAAAATGTAGACTTTTAAGCAGACGTACTCCTCCATTCGAAGCTGGATGCGCCTAAAGACACAAGTGATTTGGGTCATCTTCTCTACCACTAAACCCACGTCCAGCCTTAGCTGTTCTAGAGTTATTGGTCTTCCCATGAGTGATGTTAAGCAGTTTTGTAACGTTCTAAGATTTGCGTTAACCTGGAAGAATACAATTATTATAACATTGACTAAGTATTATCTGAGAATGCAAGTTTATTAACGGTGTTTTACACTAATAATTTTCGATTTTAGTTTATTTTACATAAATTGTGATAGAACTATTTTAGTTTTTCCGATCCTCGTTTATTACATTTACATTGGTCAACATAACGTTGATATAATTTAATACTTTGTTATACATAGAAATACAATGATACATAATCATTTCTCTAAGTCATTGTAATGTTATTTATAAAATATCTTCTATTTAGGTGAATAAATTATTGGATATTAAATATCAACAATGAAGTTATTATCAGATTCTCATGTTATTGTACGTACAAACAAAAAGTATATAGACTCATTAGCTGTTCACGTAATACTGTAACACAGAAGCACAAGGAAATGCACTAGACAATGAAAACAGTTTTTGTGTAACTACCGCGATTACCGATGCACTTTATGTAATATATGCAACAATTATTTTCATTTATTCACCAAGTTTCTACAGTTATCTATTTGATTTCTTAATTTTTGGTTTAAACACAATTTGAAAATGCGTTTAATAGAGTTTTGCATCTGCATGATTGTTGGAGTGCAGCTGAGACGACTTTCTATCGGTTATGCAACGATGCAGATCACGTAACTGCGCTCGCGCATATGGCGGAAGTGTACAGCGAATGTGACCGCTCGATTACCACTCGAGTGAGGCTAGTTACCGAGATTGCAATAACATTATATCAAATACTATCGCTAGTTCTATATATGGAAGCAATTTAGAAAGTTACTCTATATTCCATACATAACTATATATAGCAATAATTAGGTTTTACTAACCTCCTGCATAAAATCATGTTCGTGGTCTGATGAAGGTGGCGCATGAGCTAGTTTGCCATGCATTGCTTGATATGCCGCTGTCGTCAATACTGAGATCTCGTGCCATTTTTCCATTAATAGTTTTGAATGTATTTCCATAGGAATTTCCATTATGAACGGTAATTTTTTCGTCCAAGCGACCATCTTGTGGACGATTGAATCGCCAATCTTACATAATTTATCACCTATTTCTGACGTGTCGTGCAGGAGATCAGGTAAATGGCGTACAGTGGCGATGTCTTCCATTGCATCGCAATCGATCAGTGATCTGATCATATGCAGGGCCCTATCTATAGGAATTGCTCTATCTCTCGACGATGACACAGCACTTTCCAGTCTTGCTCTCAAGTGAACCACCTGGACAAAAAATTGTATACGTAAATCAAAAAGTTTTGTACTTTATGTAAAGTAAAAACTCGACTTACCTCGCTTGGGTTTGTTAAAGCAGTCTTAAGTATGGTCCCATTGACGAGGTTCGGTGGGAGGGGTGGTAAAGGGTCTTTAGGTTTCTCTGGGGGAGACGCCCTACTCGTTGCAGTTGATGTTTTTGGCTTCTTATGTTTCTTGTATTTAACCTTATATAAATTGTACACTGCACCACTATTTCGACCTCCAGGCATACGATCTTCTCGCACGGCTGTAAAGATAAAAGATATAGGTTAAATCAAAGTTATATTTTTACATTATTAATGCAAATGGTAAAATACAATACCTTGTAAAACCATCCCTTGTTCGATACATTTTTTAAAGCGACAATATTGGCATCTATTTCTTTGCGCTTTTGTTATTTCACAGCCTCCATCAGCCACACATGTATATACTCGTCTATTCTGCACAGTTCTTTTAAAGAAACCCTTGCAACCCTCACAAGTTATAATACCATAGTGGAGACCAGTCGCCTTGTCTTCACAAATCATGCAGATCATCGGCTGTTCATCTTCATCACGCTCAGCCTCAGGTGCATATGTTCTTAACTCGGGTCGTGGTGCTAAGGGACTTGGATTTGGTACATTTGAAATACCAGGAACTCCTCCAGCAGCAGCACTAAGATTTAAGGCATGTATTTGCTGATGAGCCGGTAATTGGGAAACGTCCCCAGCCCATAATAGTTCCATGTTTAGTCTTGGCCCTTGAGTTCGCCTTAACTCACCTCCTAGATTTAACAAAAGTCGAGCTGCTGATTCTTCACTACATGTGTTAGGATCTGATGCAGGTGGTGTTGGAGTGTGAGAAGCTCCCGGAGATGGTTCTCCGCCAGAAGTAGGTGCAGGAAGAGTCCAGAACATAGTCCGGACTCCACCAGATTCGCCCATAATCACTGCGGGTGCTCCTCTCCATTGTGTCGAACTTCTTGCGCCTTTTGGTTCTAATGGTTGGGGTGGAAAATGACCGCCGATGAGTTCAGGTTTTACCCCATTAATACAAGCTGCGGGAGGCCAATGATTTGGCGATAAAGAGGCGTGGGGACTTGGCGGGGGAGGAGCGAGGGCGCGAGGTCTATAGGAATGCGGGTGATCTGGGGGTGGCCCTTCTAATTTGACAGATGAATAATGGGAGGATGGGGAGGAGTCATGCTTTCCAGCAGAAGAGATTTCAATTTTAATGGGTGCAGGTGCACCTTCAAACTTGATGACGGAGTTAGGCGGGGCGGAGCGAATAACGGTTGGGTGGCAGGCTGCAGGAGAGGGTGAGGGTGAGCCACCGCCATCAAACACGGGCGGCGGGTGCGGCGGCGTGCTGCAGCCGGCGTCTGCCATGCGCGGCGACGGCGGGCCAGGGTCCGGCGAAGACGTGCTTGTGTCCGCTGCCGACTCGCCTGCAACACCAATCACGATCAACAATAGCCCACAGAAACTTAGTCTTAAAATGATAAATAGAAACTAGGTGAAATGTCAACGACCGCGCGGTAGTTTAGAGCGGGGTGAGAGGCGGGGACGCGACACTGCACTTCCCGCGCCGCCGACTAGATTAGCCGGTTGCGTCACGATGCGAGTGTTGCGGCCCCGACCACACTGAAAACTAATCCATTAAATGAAAATCTTCTCAAAGTTATTTGTACATACCGGCGTCCATGCAAGTACCTACAATCGATTGTTTAACTTTGAAACCGAATAGTTAACAGATTATATAAGAATGCGGAACACGGAAAATATGGAAAATTTATTGAAAATATAGGAAGCGTGGCCGCGCGTTGCAGTGAACGAACGCGAGATGCGGCGTGGAGCGCGAAGAGAAAGTGAAAGCAGCGCGCGCGCAGATGCAGTGTGCCGCCCGGAAGCTTGAGTTCGTGTTAGTCTACTCACAAAGGAGAACCCTATGTATAATATTGCATAGTAAAAGTAACAATATATTAAATAATTACTATAACACACTATAAATCTTACAAATTATAACTATATCATAAACTACCTATCCTGATTTAAACGAATAAAACATTATGTCATAATATTTTGTCCATACGAGAAAGGTAAAAAAGTTATAAATTCCAAATATTAATTACTCCAATATTAATATGTCACTAGTATTAACTTTACCGACTTTTTACTAAATCCATATGCATTGATTACCCTTAAACATAGCAATTCACTTGTCTCGTAGCACAAACCGCGTTTATTTCGTCCGCGACATAACGCGCGCGGGAAATTCGGTTGTTTACGCGTGGAAGAAAGTTTTCCAGCGGGCGTCGGGCGTCGGGCGTTAGGCGCAATGAGCCCGACCTACCGCAAGGCTTCTCCCCTCTCCCCCTCCAGCTATTAGGTCACACGGCCGTGCGTGCGAACTGCAACCGCACAATGACTAGTGCACGCGTGCACCGCTCTCGCTTCGAGGACGATCTCTATTTCACTCAGCGTCCTTTGCCACATCATTGGTGGGGACCGATCTTTCTAGCCGCGTGATGCAATTGGCTCTAAGGTCCTAGGCTTGCATAGATAAACTTTAGTTATTAGTATATTGGTAACCCTGTATTAATAGTTAGACTTGTCCGTTGCAACTTGAGATTTCATGCTACAATTAGGAATCAACATTTCGCTCATAGTTTCATCATATTCCTACAATGCTATTTGGCTACTGCTTCGATGAATTACTTTTTAAACTTAAATCGCGGAACACAGAGGTTGCGTAATAGTCTATTTTTCGATCGCTGCACGAAGGTCGTATGCGGTCATCAACCGAGAAAAGTAGGTCAGACCTACCCTCTATCTTCCACCCTGACGCCACGTGTCGCTCTGGGGCGACCCATGAGCCCTTAGTCACTCTATTTATAGCGTTACATAACAGACCCGTAATTTTATAACTGTCCTATTATATATTGAAGTATATAGGACCTGGGTACGCTATAAAATGGCTGTTTAAGTTAACCCTTAAAGTGGGTTCAGGAGGTTTGTTATAGTTTCGGTTATTAGAAAAAAATACTTATTGATTTATATTTAGAGAGTGGCGTTTCTTATAAGTCATAAATATCTAAGACGTGCAGAAGTTAATTTCTTTAGATTAATACGTAAAATCTTTTTTCTAAGCTTACTACTTTTTCCCACACTTTACAGGTTCGGTTCGTTTGTGTTTCCTAAGTTTCTCATATTTATAATAATTGGTGTCCCAATAAAACAATATATTCTTTCGTAATATGTTATAACTATAAATTTTCGAATTTGATACAAGTTAATGTAAGCGTTGGGTCCATTTACAGTTTTAGAATATGCTATGAATGATATTAGATACTGAGATACGACTGAATGGCACTTTAAAAACAGGTACAATAATCGGCAATGTCAAGAGCATCTAAAAAACTAAATCAGCGAAACATTTACGCAATGAGGCGTGTCATTTGCACGTTCCTGTTTATCTTAACAAGTAGCACGCGAGGGGTGCGTCATGACGTTTAGATGTGGCGTCATAAAACGTCACTCCCCCGGTTTACGCATGCGTATTTTCACATCACTATCTTGTCAAAACTTAATTATTAAGACCCACTGCTAAGAAATTACGTAAAAATATTTAGAAATTCTCTTAGATGCAAATTTATCCAACATAACACAAACTCACTTTGACAGGAAACGCATTTAAGGTATTTTTTTAAATAATGTTTGAGTTTATACACGTTTCATTTTTATACATGTTGTTATGAGTTTAAGAGATTTTTATAACCATATAAAAAATAAGGATATTTTTTTTAAATATTTCGGATTTAGCGCGATTATTTATGTTATTCATCTATAATGTTTTAATTACACCTTTACCAAACTTTAAGACCTCGATAAAATAAACAAATTGAAACGCTTTTACTTTTTAATATGAGTTTGTAAGTTTCGTTTTCAGTTTCATCACCGAAGCTTACCATGCCCAATTGCCCAGCAATTCTCAGGCACTCGAGCCAAATGTACGGCAATGAACACGTCTTTCACTCTTGTATTATTCATAAGGTCACGATTGCAATTACGATTACTTTCTCGATATTTAAATTTCTCCCTTAAAGATGAAAACGTTCAAAACAGAACGTTACACCATCGTTTGTTTTGTTGTTTAATTTACTTTGAACTTGTTTTTTTGGATTCTTACCTACGGGTACTGTATTACTAATACTAGAACTAAATCGTCATTATTATTAAACGTACTCTTTTGTCTGTTTACGTTTTATCTTGGTACATTCGATGTCATCGCATTTTATTGTTTGTTGTTTGGGTTTTTTGAAACGTTCTTAAACTACGTATTTCGGCACTCTCATCAAAATCTTTAGTGAATTATCGTATTTAAATAAGACAGTTATATGCTGTACCACAAAACATATATCAGTTGAAATAGTAGACTTGAGATTGTGCCTTACCAGCGTATTTAGGAAGTGAAATGAATTAAGAATGAATAATAAGTAGATATTACGAGTCGTTCGTAACTCGACATTGGAGCGATACGTGTTGAACCGGATTTGTATTCGGCAAATTATTATTTCACGTTTTAAGTGAAAGTTCCATTTCACATCACTTTTACATTATACTCTTTATATTATTAAATGCAAGCTTATGTCTGAATATAGCAAAATTCTACATTGGAGAATATATAAATTCAATATTCTCTTATAAATTATCATAGTTCACTCACTTTATAATGGATATTTCTTCTTGATGTGCGAAATAAAATGGGCATTAACTATTGTGGTATTGAGACCAATAAAAACAACATATTTGTTTTTATTCATCTTATAAATTAAACGCAAATAACATGACATTGACTTATCCTTGTAAATTTTAATAGTTATCGCATTTCCTAGTTTAAACCAGTTATTTATACAATAATAATAAATTAAGACTCTATAATATATATACATTTTAGCGACCCAAATTTTTTAGCTTTTTATATTCACACTCGTATAAACTTACAAAAACTATTAAATACTTGAAACTCATTTTGAAAGTTTTGTAGTAAGAGCCATTGAAACTAATGTTGTGAACGTTTTATTAAAAAGTTTTATAGATATGGTATTAAATACACATATAAAAAAGAAAAATGCAATAATAACATCAGTTCAGCAACTAAGGTTTAAAAAATTAATGACAATAGTAAATTCTATCTTTAACACATATATTTACTATATTATAATGATTATATTACTAAATTATGGTACTCATTAACTGTCAATGAATGAATTTAAATACTTTTGCAAAAGTGTTATTGTCGAGGAGATTGCCCTGTAATTTGATTTTATTTCTGTATGTAATGCAATTTAAAACGCTTAAAAACGTAAGCATTATAATCGCAATTGAATCACGTTGAAATGAAAACGAAATTACTGTACGGAGCGCATTCGAAAGTGACAAGAGAATCGTGAGCGGAGTACGGTTTGCTGCGAGAGATCTTTGGAATAACAATACAATTCGTTCCTGACCTTCCACTGATTAATGTGATTCTATTGCTCGAATGTGACATTGATAGAGAGACGGTATGTACAATTACATGCATACATTTTATCAATAATACGACTAAGAATTTGGATTAGTTCAAAACGTTTTTGTTTTAATGGATATTTAATCGGACTTTATTACATATTGTGATTGATACACGACTAATAATAAAGATTAAAAAAAATAACATTTGCAATCATATAAATGTGTGGGTCTTCGTAGGTACAAAGAGCTTTCGTAGCACGTAGCATTGCTACGAAATATTTACTGGAACTTTACTTTTACAATGCAAAATTAAATGAATCTTTGATATAAATATAGTTCTTTAACATTTGATGAAGACTCTCAGAAATATGTTACAGAAACGGTTATTGGCTGACGGCTGATTGCCTGTTTTGAAGAGATCGGCTTTAAAAAGGAGTCGCATTGTTGAATGATACACTGGCCGGTTATTATATACAATTCACTATATGCTACTCACCATCGCTACTACATCGGGAGTCAACTTTCCGCCTCTTCAATTTGAGGTCTTGGAACAGACTCATGTTGTCGAGGTCACACGGGCCGCGGCTGAGTGTCATTATTCCTGTTAACAAAAAATATAGTTTTAAATCTTATTCAATGTATTATAGATATTAGTTATTATATACTATTTATAGGATAAAAACTCCGTACTAAAATTATAATGTAAATATGAATATGTCAACTAACAGTAATAATATAAACATCGATTGACGAAGGACAAATTGCAATACAGCAAAATCGTACGTTCAAATAAAATACAACGCAGTAACCATATTGTTTTATACAGCATGTGTTAATCCCTACATAATATATCACATGCATACTTAGAATAGTAATCAATAATCGCATACGTTGTAAATCGACGCGTAAAGAATCGTGTAGGTACACAATTCAATGTATGTATGAACTTACGTCACCATGACAGTTAACATATATAGACTTGTGAGTAACGTCATAACTTAAATAGCAATGTGCATAAGTGTACATTATTTTAGGTCCTTGACATTGGCACATGTCATGAACTTGAATCACTATATGAATATTTAATTTAATTACCAAATTATTTCAACTGGTATACCTAAAAATTCATTAAAGAACGACATTTTTAATATGTCGCGTATTTCCAATTCTCCGTCGCATTTCAACAAGTTTTAAATAAGCATTCGGAATATTTTAAAATGCAAGATCAACAAGTTTAATTTACGCAATATCATATAGAAGTTGAAAACATATTGTAAACTAAATTAAATACATAAAACACTGATTTCAAGGTTTTTTATTTAAATATCTCCAGAGAAGTGTACAGTATGTCACTGCCTTAAAAGTACTAGCACCACTATACGCTGTAATACCGTCATAACTGACGCAGTCGAAATAGTGTACGTAGAAAGGCTCTTACGTTGATCAATAAGAAACCACTTTCGTCATACTTTTACGATCATAGATAATTCTGCCGTGAAAAGAAAACGATAAAAATTTCATATCTTAATGTTTACTCGAATATTTTATATAACATACGTAGAAAATGACGAAACATCAACTTAATTTGTTTTAGTGAATGATATTTTTGTGGTTCTTTTAAGTTTTTAGACGATGTGTCTATCAAATTAAACACTTAAATAAACCTTATTTAGAAATGTTTGAAGGACATTTCATTTCTTACATTTATTCTAAGATGTTTTATAATAGACGTCGGTCGATCGTATTTTCAAATTTTCTTTTTATAAATAACGTAACTCAGACGTGTAAAATTTTTTGGCTCGCGTATTATCAATTACAAATTCGTGTCAAAGACCTTGATAGTGTCGCGTTAATGAAGCAAATAAAATTTCTGTGTAGTGCGTCGGGACTTCCACATAAGTTTTGTTTAAGGTCGGTTTAAACTTCCGCAACTCAATAGGAAACGGCTATGTTAAATATTTTACATAGGTTTATTTTTAAAAGGCAGGAAATATGTAAACATAAGAACTTTTGATCTCGATATAATTATTTATTGACATTTATTAATTACCAATTTTCTTTATATTCCATAAATATTCAGAAATATAGCAATCCAGTAAGCAATCGACCATGTTCCTTTTTTAAAATTATGATTTTTAATAATAGCAAGAAAGCAATTTCAGCTGTTTTAAGATGTTTTATAGATCAATAATTTATTTGTAAGTAAAAATAGATCATACGCCATTAAACGTTAAATGTAATAATAAAATTGTATACCGGTTAAACGAGTAATGACCTTTTCAAGTGGGGTCAAAGTTTTCGGGTGGACTAATTCGGTTTGTTTGGACATTTAGTCACGCACATAAAGTTGTAAAATATTTTAGTCTAATAAAAGTCGTTAATTAGTAGTTTTTTTCTAAGAATCATAGAGCACTCATTCCTCTATTTTACTCTAATTTCTCAGTCTTTGAACTTTTCACAGGAATTTGAACCCACGATAACCACATTTATAAGCACTACGTGCTACCAATAAGGCCATGGACAAGTAACTAGTAAGGGACCATAATTTTTTTTTAAATGTTGGGGGGGGGTTTTTTTTTTTTATTACCCACCAAGTTTCTGTCTCAATAATATTTCATATGCTCTGCTTGAAGGTAATTTAAATTCATTGCATGAAGTTCATCTTAGCGGTCATTGGAAGTCGGAAGAATAAGCAGTTCCGGCTACAATGTCACTGCCGGTGCGAGGCCGCCTTGTTTCGGTGACAATTTAATACTTTAGCTGGGTTTCATTGGGTGAGATTTAATCGCCTTAAAAACACGAGAGTAGTTTCATTTTAACCTATAACGTAATATTTATTTATTTAACCGGAGACTGCATAACGTTACATATTTTAAAGAAATTTATTAAATATTGAACGGCTTTTATATCGTTTTCTTACATGTTTCCAGAGGTCCGATTTATGATACCCTGATCAGGATTTAGATAGCCTTCGTGCGCACCTTGACATTCAGCTGCGCACGATTAAATTGATCAATCGTTCCATTTTAAAACCTCTAGTTACTTCCGATTTTACTTCCTGTATGATAATTATTTAAAAACTTCTTAATAAATAATGCTCTTACTTTGTAAGATATATATATTATTGTGACAGAGTTTAATGAATATTTCTATGAGACTAAATCTTATTCTCAATTTATAAGAAGGACAAAATAGACTAAAGAAAAATTCGTAAAAGGTTATTTATAAAATTAATAGTAAGTATTCCTGTTAAACGAAATTGTTTGTCTACATAATTTGAAAATTGTTCTAATAAATAGAAATATTCTAATGACAACCAATATATTTATAAAAGTTCTCATATTGATCAAACATGTAAGAAAAATAACTGAAACAGTCACGGATTCTCAAATTTTACAATGAACATTATGGTTGTTAACAGAACTATTATTATCTGAACAGGCATCCTCCCACTATACTGTTTTGAAAGGAAGTGACATTATACCTTTTCGCTTTCACCTCATTGGAAAGTGAGCGTAAAAAACGCATTTTGGCAGCGACAAAACCATGAGGTCATTGACTTTAACAAATCATAGAGTATAGACATAGGTCAGCCATATTGTTTTAAAGTAAAAGTCCTTTGTTTGTTTTTGTTTGCCAAATGTTTATGCAGTTCATACAAAGTAATACATACTTGGATTTAATTAAAGCAAAATAGTTTTGAATTATAAATAAGCGTATTTTTTTAAACACAAGAGAGTCTGTTTTGACTCACTCTACTCCATTTCATATTCCGTTAAAATAATTTTCGTGATCGTGATCCATGAGACGATTTGAGAATGTCATGGCGAACCCAAAACGTGTCGTTGTTTCGCAATCCGCCGATTGTTATTTCCAAATAGACAATACTTATTCTGGTAGTAATAAAATTGCAAATTTATTTAATGCTTCCATTAATTCGTATATATTTCACATCAATTGCCTGACATTTTTATTATAAAATTGTAACCATAGGTTTGAATATGGTATATTATTTTAAAATACACTATATTAAAATGTATGTTTAAACAAACTTGCACAAATTCAAGAGTTAATTTTTATGTTTCCTATTAGTTTGAATTTTAGCAATAGTAGGATATACGAATTAAAATAATTTATAACAATAATTTATGAGCGTGTGTTTATTTGTGATTACGAAACATTCACATCGTTGACATTGCATTTTTTTAAATATGTATATTGCTACTATTAATGCAAACGAAACACCGCGTAGCGCGTAGCACTTGCTACGAGCTACGAAACTAGGGAAATTTTCTGGCTCTGCAAGATATATTTTTTAAATTTTTTAAATATAAGATTTTAAATGAAATTATATTTAAAAAAATATATAAATTACCCATTGTAGAGGTCATCGTCTGCAGTTGAGTTGCGTGTGCGGAGGCGTCTAACGCCTCGGGCCCCAGCTTTTCGCCAGCCGACAGCTTGCTTAGCACGGCAAAATGCACATAACACAAAGTTCAACGTTTTCTAATCACCGATCACCTTTTCAATTTACGTCTTCTAAAAGAAACACCAACTATCAGCATAGTTTTTTAACGCAGCACTATGCACGTTCCTGCGAAGAAAGACACGGGGATAACACAAGTGAAGATTGATAGCGTCAGCATGCGCGCTCTCTCAACCTCTAGATTCGGCAAAACCACGATAACGACTGCGCGCAAATGTCGTCATGTCGAAATTCGAAACACTTTCACCTAAATATTCCGGCTCCGTTTCGGCAGACGCGGGCGTCGCTCTCGGCGCTCACGCACACACCGTCACCTCAGTAATTACGTACTGTAAAAATTGAGCTAGTGTTTTTCGTAGTCGACCTTATGACTGAAGTGCTCACCACCGAAATATAGTTATCTCTGTCTTGAATTCATTCACCGTTACGCGAGGCGTTTTTTGTTTCATTTTTTTATCTTGGTCGAGGACGCGCGTGTGAGTGTGCGATTTCGATAGCGAGGTCGATGAACTCCACAAGGGATTTCGTTAGATGTGCAGTAGAGTTTCAGTGTTAGGTTGACTTTGATGTGAGTAACCAATATGTTACGGCGTGGCAAGGCATGTGCGGTTCCTACGATGGGGGAACTTCTCAATAACATCGTTAAATAGGTCAGCAGCGTGCGCACACGCTGTAATGGCATTACTTTATATGAGCATCTGCTATCTTTATTTGGGCGTTTATTACAATAATTCCAGGTACAGATTGATAAATGTAACTATTATAAGAAACAATTAACGAAAATCATATAAACGCATCAATTACGGTAATGCAAATTTAAACTTGTAAAAAAATAAGCACTCATTTAACCTACATTAGCCATTAGTTTTTGTCCAAAAGGTTAGACGGGCGATGGCACAGTTTGGTGTTGTATTACATTAAAATAGAGTTCATTCGCATCGGCCTCTATTTGAAAATATCTAGATTACTGATTCATTGTGTTAACAATGAATAATTTGTATTAAACAGATATGAAGCTATTCAAAGTATTGTAATTAAAGATATATATTTTACAATATAAAGTCATCAAAAGTTGAGTCATACCTAATTAACAGTTTTTTTTATATATAG